GGGGGGGGGGGGGGGGGGGGGAGGTGCAGAGCATCATCGGAACGCCAAACACACGAATCTAACAGATACAACTTTGAATCTAGTTCAAAACGCCACGAAGTGTTTATTTTTAACTTTTACCATGACATAAAACGTAAAGTGTGAAGACACGATAAGCAAACACAATTATTTATTTTTAAGTTATTCAGTATAACAGTAAGTTTAACGTTCAGGTAATAATCTATTTTAATTAAAGAACAAAGTCATTATTCCAAGTGGAATAATTGAACTGGAAAACAAACACTTACTGGAGAATTAATTAAACTCAATTCTTGTAAATTATACTAGATTTGATAGAAGTCTGTAGTTCGACCTCTTCTGATCTTTGTTCTAGTGATCCGGCAAGGTTTGGACTGAATTGAAATCGCGGCTATATCGTGGTACGTAATAATAAAACTCCGAGTAATAATTTATCCACTTCAAAAACCTGACCTACTAAATGACATTGTTTAAAATTGTAGAAGTGTACTGTAAAAACAGATTGATTATAAGTAATAGCATAAAAAGAAGCGAATTAGCTATTAAAACGTCCCGCCCGATGAGGGTCGTTTAGTATAATTCCCTTGGGCGCCGCTCGATGAGGGTCATTTAGTAAAATTCCCGAGGGCCGAAGCCCTCGGGAATTTTACTAAATGACCCTCATCGAGCGGCGCCCAAGGGAATTATACTAAACGACCCTCATCGGGCGGGACGTTTTAATAGCTAATTCGCTTCTTTTTATGCTATTACCTTATAATATCATGATTGCGGGTATTCCCGTTGTTCTCGCAGGGCCATTAAAAACCAATTAAAAATAAATAATGGTATAAATTAAATTGGCGATTTCAGATATCTTCATTTATATTCATTTTTTCTAATCGTACCCGCTTTGACGTCGTTTCGGGTAGGATTAGAACTAATTCTACCTGACATGACGTAAAAGCGGGTAGGATTAGAAAAATGAATATAATGAGGTGTATTAGTTATTAATTGCTCTGCGAGAACAAAGGGAATACCCGCAATCATGATATTATTAAATTAAGTAACCGATTTGAATTGATTACCTCAGATCCACTTACTTCAGTGATCAGTATTTTATTGTTTAAAACAACCAAAAATTGGCAGTATTTTAAATTAACCAATTTTTGGTTAACCAATTCAAATGGTTATTTTAACTACTCCGTTTTTGCCGTGTATTATGAAAGTATTTCCAGCTTAATCAGACGCTATTATCTATTCTTGGCGAAAAAGCTCGTCAATTCGTTCAGTCGTTCCTATTTATTTTAATATGATTTTCTATATGACTAATTAACCATAATAAGTGTTTTCTATAATTTATTTATTAACCTGTATTCAGATTTCACTTCAACTAAAATGTGTAAATTATTTTTAACCGTATACAAGCAAATTTAAAGAATTTATTGAAAATACTATATATTGATATAAGATTTTTTCTAAATTTTCTCATAACCAATTGCCCTGAACAGACAGATTGCAAAAACCATTCCAAGAATCTAAAACAGAAATGGAGGTACCTCGATGGAATTATTATCATCTAAAAGGCCTAGTCGCAACCCTCCGCTTGGGAGACTCGGCGAGATATTACCCGAAGTGATATGGATGATATTTCCCGAGGAACTTTGCTCCGAGGATATTATACAAACATATCATATTACATAGTACATAATACATAACATAATACATAATCTTGAACTGTCTGTGCCAGTGTAGGTATCATGGGCGTACCGGAAGGAAAAAATTAGGGGGCGGAAAGAAAATTGCCCGACTTTTCGTAAAATTGCCCGACTTTTCGTGATTGTGCCCGACTAGTACCCAAAATTTTTTCCCGGAAAATTTATTTTGGCGACCTCCCCCCCCCCTCCCCCCGTCGCCAAAAAAATTTCGGTCAGTGTACCATTTAAGGGGTCAAAAAAAATTTCCGGACATACCAAAATTTTTCTGAGCATCACATAAATTTACTAAATTTTCGACATTTGCCACAAAATTTACTAAATTTTCGAAAAAATTGACAGAATTTGTCCGATTTTTTTTTATAACAACCCAAAATTGCCCGACTGTTAATCGAATATTGCCCGACTGCCCAAAAAACTGGGGGGGCGGCCGCCCCCCCCGCCCCCCCGCCCGGTACGCCTATGGGTATGGATCACGTTTCACAACGAAAAAAAAGCCGTTTCACGATTCACGTGAGGACCTTTCAGGAACCTTGTCCTCACCGCCAGGAACCTTGTCCTCACCGCCAGGAACCTTGTCCTCACCGCCAGGAACCTTGTCCTCACCGCCAGGAACCTTGTTCTCACCGCCGCCCGGTACGCCTATGGGTATGGATCACGTTTCACAACGAAAAAAAAGCCGTTTCACGATTCACGTGAGGACCTCTCAGGAACCTTGTCCTCACCGCCAGGAACCTTGTCCTCACCGCCAGGAACCTTGTCCTCACCGCCAGGAACCTGCGAAAGGCCTCCGAAGTTTTTACTCTTGTGCAATCGAGTGAGATCATCTGATAAATTTGATTACCTCGTATCATGTTTATTATAATAATCACTATAATAATCACAGTTCACGAAACAGGCATCCTTAATTCTCATTTCACGGAGCATTTTTACTAACAATCACATTTCACTGCACTAAAATCAAGCATTTCACATTTCACACGAACAAATATTCACCATTCACGGCTCACGAAAATACCCTTTCCCACCCTCTTCAAAAGCAACATCGTTCCCCAGGGTATTCGCTCCCCTTCAAAAGTAGTACAAGTCGCCCGCTAGGTTAGAAGTTGGTGAAAAGATGGACCGCGGAGCGCTTGAGAACCTCAGCGAAAGACTTTGGAAAGTCTAATCTAACAAGTTAATAATTCGAAGATAATAATTATTATATATAGGATTCATAAATACAATTTCCACCTATTTCGCATTCTAATGTCATCCCAGCTACATCAGCAGTGGTTGTATATCTCGCCTCAGCTGTCAATAACTTTTCTCACAAATTCTGGCAAAGCAAAACATGCACTGTGCACTTTAGAGTTATAAAAATACAGCTGGGAATGTTCTTCGTCCGATAGTTGCTGAACTGGCGTTTCAAAACATGTAGCCTGAAAAATAGACAAAAAATATTTTAGAACATTTATTTTATGTGGAATAAACTGAGAATACGGCTTTAGTTTCTGATCAGTTATTGGCAGGAGAGAGGATGGTCATATTTTGAGTTCAGTATTTCAAATTGTTATTATTGTTATTATTTATATTACAGTAAGCGACGTTCTCAGAACACTAAAATATAAACTGTTGTACATACTGGATTTAAACTTCGTAACATGAAGGTAGTTTGTCCAAACGGTGGCGTAGGAATACAGGAATAGGCGAGTTTCACAGTTGAAAATGATGTTTTATTGTATTTGAATAACGAGTGAATAGCATCGAGCTCTAGCCAGAAGCTTGGAACTAAATGACGAAGGAAATGAAATTTTGTTGATAGTATTTATTGAAAAAGTAAACAATATCGATTGAAACAACAACAACGACGACGACAACAACGACAACAACAACAACAACAACAACAACAACAACAACAACAACAAGAATAACGAGTGAATAGCATCGAGCTCTAGCCAGAAGCTTGGAACTAAATGACGAAGGAAATGAAATTTTGTTGATAGTATTTATTGAAAAAGTAAACAATATCGATTGAAACAACAACAACGACGACGACAACAACGAGAAACAACAACAACGACGACGACAACAACGACAACAACAACAACAACAACAACAAAATTGCTTACGTTGAGAGATAACGATGCCATTTGGTTTTAAAGCTGATTTCAGAGCATCACTCGTATTAGGTTGTAGAAACGTTTCCGCTGGAACTGGAAAATAGAGAGTGCATATCATTCAAAAACACCATTCACTCTTCTTGCGATAAAAACTTTCGATCTATATTTTACACGCGTAAAAATCATCATGTTGATGCAAGTTGTTCACAACAGGAGCGAACAATGTTGTGCTGCACCCCGTGAACAATATTGTTAACAATGTTGTTGAACCATCAACGTTGTTGTAACTTGTTGACAATCATGTTATCAACTTGCAACAATATTGATGATTGAACAACTCGGAACAACTTGTTAACAATATTGTTCACGGGGTGCAGCACAACATTGTTCGCTACTGTTTGAACAACCTGATCAATTTTTACCCGTGTACCTGTTATAATGACGTCATATTCTACGGGATGCGTCTTGATGTACTCCATGTAAGTACCAATATAAAGTTCTCGCAGCTTTGGATTCTCGTATCCAGTCGACGTTTGATCGAAATATTTTTTGGAAATATCCAGAAGGGCCTGATAAACATAAAAGATAAAAGCATACAATACTATCCGTAGTGAAAGTGTATGCTACAGTTAAACAGGGATTAAACGTAACTAAACTAACGTCATTTGTACTAAATGTCAGTCTTCTAACCCACCTGACTTGCTTCGCATTGGACAATTTCCTCAACTGACTGGTATCTTGAAACTTCATTTATGATACCTCCACTTAAACCTCCGATAATAAGCACCTGGAAAAAGTATATATTACAATTGATAGGTTGGGATTGTCAAGGTGTCTAAGACAGCAATGAATCATCATCCTCATTTGCCTGGGCTTTTATTTAATGAACAGTAAAAATTTACCTTTTTAGGATCTGGATGGCAACTCAACGCGAGATGTGCCAAGGACTCGTCATATAAAGCTTGATCGCATTCTGTGCGTTGTATGACGTCATCTACCACCAATACATTGCCGTATACATAACTAGAAACACATCAACAGGTTTAAAACAACAAGCATAAACAGTAAATGATAAACAGACATATGCAGGTGCTGACTAACGGACCCGCCAACCGACCGACAACAGCCCGATTGATCGACGACAAGACCGACTGGCTGGCTGGCTGGCTGGCTGACCCAACTACTCGTTAAACGCTAACCTGTTAAATACAAGTATATCTTGATTGTTAATCTTTTTATGAAAATGTATATCCTCTTTAATTAAACCAAACGACTGCCCCGGAGCAATCTTACGTTTCTCCCAAAACCAATCACTGTCTTCCGAAGAGCCAGTTTTGTCGTATTCTTTGTTTTTCTATGAGAAAAAAATGATATATATTATACCTAGACAGTTTAAATTATTTCACACTATGAAATTATTACACATTATTAATATGTACTGTTTGTTCATCATTGGTGAAAACGCCTGTACACGTCTGATGGAACTAACAGACATTCTGCACGACATACAGGACGTCAGTTTAGGGATAGGCTGTTTGCAATTGGTACCGAGACCAAAGAGTACCATATTTGTGGACGAAACACGAGGATGTAAGCTTCGTGTCCTTATGTTTATTTATTTCGCAAAGTTTTCGGTCCTCACAAAGTTCCGTGCCGACTGTATACCTTTTCAAAAAACTGTGGTAGAGCGAAAGCTGCAGTGTGCATCTCGGAATTGTAAAACTTCAAATTCAAAGAGGTCAGTTGCTCTGAAGAAAACCTTCTCAACGGTTGGTCAAACTTTGTTTCCTTAATTTAAAAGAAAAGAAAAAAAAATAAGACAAATGTGCACAACTCTCGGAACCAAACTTAACATACTTATTAATTAGCGATTTCACGCTTTATATCAATTACTTAAACACTTACTGGACTGCGACTACACATCAAAAATCCAATTTGACCGCACGGGTAAGTTGGTACATTTGTGTACGCATATCCAACCACTGGAAAGAGTGGACTACAAAACTTCATCATATTTTTAATAAATACATTGTCAAGCCAAGGACATTCACCTAAACAAATACAAATACATGTAAAATATCATTCGAAAATGGAAAATTCAGGATCTGGGAAACATTAAACACTTTTTGCCCTATTTCAGTTCCAGTGGACATAGTAAACTGGCTACCCCCAGTATCTGCAACTGCCAAGCAATCATATTCAGGCAAAACGATTCCAGTCCACCAATCCATAGGCGTACCGGGCGGGGGGGTGGGCGGTAGCCCCCCAGTTTTTTGGGCAGTCGGGCAATATTCAATCAACAGTCGGGCAATTTTGGTTTGTAATAAAAAAAATTGGGACAAATTATGTCAATTTAGTCGAAAATTCAGTCAATTTTTTGTTGTAAATTTTGTGTTTTTTTGAAAATTTGTGTGATGTTCCGAAAAATTTTGGTATCTCCGGAAAACTTTTTTGACCCCTAAAATGGTACACTGACCAAAAATTTTTTGGCGGAGGGGGCTGAGGTCGCCGAAATAATTTTTCCGGAACAAATTTTTAGGTACTAGTCGGGCACAATCCCGAAAAGTCGGGCAAATTTCTTTCCGCCCCCCTGATTTTTTCCTTCCGGTACGCCCATGCACCAATCTATTGTTAGGATGAAACCCTCCACTTCATCCGTCTACGAGACGGGATATGGCCGGAATTGAGACTGTCTCATACATAAAGAAATACTCACCCTGACTACACAATATGCCATCTGATTTCAAAGCTGACTTCATCAGTTCATAATATTCCTTTTCAAACAGCGATGCAGCTGGGCCTTAACGTAACAACATGCATTCATTATAGCACTATTACATTTAATCCAAGACAATAGACAATTCCATTATAGACTAATTTTAAAACTAGGCAAGGAGATGCAAATAAATCACCACAGCTAGAAAGAGCATACTAAAATTAGTAAAATTGCAAAGTTTGGTTGCGAAATGTTATAAAACGCGGGAAATATAGCCTTGCAAAGTATACAAAATTTGCGAACTTTGCAAGGCTATATTTTCCACATTTTACAACATTTCGCAACCAAACTTTGCAATTTTACTAATTTTAGTATGCTCTTTCTAGCTGTGGTGATTTATTTTAGTCTCCTTGCCAAGTTCTAAAATTAGTCTATAATGGGAATTGTCTATTGAGTATTGTTGCTGCAAGTTGCAACATAATTAACTATTAAAATACATGGTGGTGTTGGGAAAGCATTGAGAACAGCTAACCAAGATCACGTGACGCCAGTTAACTCTCACGCACTCTCATGAGTCTCATCCTTGTTTGATCTGCGGGCTTAAAGGACACATGACTCATTTTTAAGTGTTATTTTTTTGTCTAATATGATAAATAATTGAAAACTGTAGAGTAACTTCATTGACAGATTTTTGTTTTCTTGCTTCGTTTTGAAGATATTTTATTTTGTATGATATGCAAAGGACCAAACACTACATGTCATGGGTATTGTTGTGGACAAATTTCGTGCTCATCATTCATTTTGAGCGAATTTATTTGATAGTGACAAAATTATATAACATTTTAAAGAAAGTCATTATGCATGTGTGACGTAGAAAGTTGGTCCTTTGCATATCATAGAAAATGAAATATCTCCAAAACGAAGCAAAAAAACAAAAATCTGTCAAAGACGTTACTCTACGGTTTTCCTTGATCTATCATATTAGACAAAAAATAACACCATCAATTTTCGAGTCATATGCCCTTTAAACACTGAAAAGGCCTTGCAACTGCAGTATAACCATACCTACGGGATCAGAAGAATCAGTGATAATGACATCAAATTCTCCTTGATGTTTCTTCATGAATTCTTTACCACATCCAACATGAAGTGTATGTTTAGCACTGTTGTACCCACACGACATATTTGGCAAGTATTTCTTTGACATATTCACAACTTCCTAATATGAAGAATACTTTTAAATAGATATATAAATACGAGCCAAATTAGACGAGTTCTTGCATATTTGAACGGGGGTCAGCCTTTGATTCACCGTTACGAAAATGTTCGTATTTTCCAATAATCAATGATATTTGCAGAGAAAAATGAACTTGAATTTATGTAAATCAGCAACGTTTTCTACCAGATACATATAAAACTACAAAATTTAGTTGAATCAAGAATGATGAAGTTACAGGCCGCAACTCCAGAAATCATGGATGCAGTGGAGCTACCCAAACCTGGAGATGCTGACTGACAAAAATCCTTCGCAACTTCCATATCTTGAACCATATCTGCCAACCGTGTTCCTGGGTAAATTATATTCGATTCTTTCGCACCAAACGCCGTTAAGTACACGTGTGGTTCAATTATATTGTAATACCTTTTTTTGTTAGTTTTTTTATCCTGTTTCTCTGCCAAAACGACATTGGTTAAATCGGTTTATAAACAACACCGGGTTTTTTGGTACTGTACCTCATCTATTTCACATTGTACAATGGACTCAACACAAGGATGTTTTGCAATCTCACGAATTACGCCGCCATCACCTGCTCCAATAACTAAGACCTATAAAGCGAAATACATTGGTGGACATCAATCAAAAGAGTCCTGAAGGGATTGCCTGTTTGTTCACTGGGAAATTTGGACATGATTTAAACCAGTTACCCTCACGGACTATTGCCAACAGAGTGTGTGGATTGCAGTCCACTACCAATAAAGAGTGTACCCTCGTCATCCATCACCAACATAGGGTGTGGCCTTCCAGTCTATTGTCAACAAAGAGCATGTCTAACAGTCTATTACCAACAAAGGGTGTGGTCTCAAAGTCCTTTGTCAGAAAAAGGGTGTGACCCTACAGGCTATATCACTGCAAATCTACAGCACATAGTCAATAAACAAAATGTGGTCTCATATGTACAGTCCATTGTCAGCACCAAGGTGTGGCCTCGCAGAACCTATTGTCGGCAAAAGGGTGTTGTCCCAATCTCCATAGTAACAAGGGGTGTGGTCTCACAGTCCATTGTCAAGAAAAATTACCCCAGAAATTACCTTTCTAGGATTAGGATGTGAATTTAATGGAAGATAAGTAATCATTTCTTGATATGAAAATTCATCTCTGTCGGTGCATTGAACACAACTATCAAGAACTAACACATTCCCATGGGATTTGCTGCAAAGTCAAAAAGACATCTTGTTGTAAATTAAAGCACCAAACTAAACTAAACTGGGAGTGCATGAAATGCAAGACACAAGACAACTGTCTAGGGGTGCAACTGTTGGGGTATGGGGGGGGGGTGACACCCCCAAAGTTTAAAAATGGAATGACACTCAGGCAAATTTTGCCTAGCGTTAATGGGTTGTATGTCGAGCAGTTGAAGTCATCTGAAGAAAAGTTCATGAATTTCATGTCAGATTGATTAGTGACCATGCCCTTTTATTGGGCAAGAAGAACTTCTCCCCCCCCCCCCCAATTCGCACAGTCAAATTGTGCCCCTGCAACTATCGTATTTTCAGCATTCCTGAGCAAAAATTTACATTTTCTATGATCACATCTACAGTGATGGTATTTCTTTCTGTCTCCTCTTCAATATTAATTAGCATCTTTTCAAACAGTGAGTCTGATAAGATTGCAAGTCTAAACCCCTTCCTCTGCCTCCAGGTTCTGATATACTATGCACTAACCTTTCAAACATTAAGATGTCTTGATACTGTGACTTTTTGTGACATAAAACTTTATTTACTTCAAATGACATAGCTTGACCATACCAGAGGTCACTTATTTCTGCAAACCAACCATTCTCAACTTTGGCCATACTGAAGAATATATATTTATATACAGCTAGGATATAAGTTTTCAGCAAAGTGAATGCACATATATATAAGTTTTTATCTGAGTGTCATAGGGACAATTTCAACTGATGGAATCAGAAAATCCAGTTCACATGCAATATACCAAATCATTTCTGACCCCTCGTGACAGTGTTTCTATTAGAAAGTCTAAGACATATTTCTATAATCTTTCTTTGTGGATGTGAACTGACCGACACCAAGTGTTGTTTAATACAAAGTTTATGTACTGTAATTAACATACTTTTAATATTTATAGACATTTAATGCAAAAGCCGAATACAGTTTTGTCAACAAAATCAAATTTTGTATAGCACACAGACACTAGTTGTTGTATATTATTACATAATACTATATATAGTTTTATACTGTATTACAATCTTTGCAGACTATTTTAACCCATTGAGGACCAGCACTTCCCCTTGACGATTAAAGTGATCTGGCATTAGACAGAGTAAATAATCAAGTAGGGTTAATAGTTGCATGCATTAGTGCAATGCAACTTTTAATATAATGGGTTTAAGGTTGAACATAGTTAATATATATAAATGGGTTGAACAAAAGTTGGAGGGTTTTGTAGATGGAAAATCCTCCAACTAGTCTCATACTATACCTGTGTATTTTTAAATGTCTTTTGGTGAATATTGTATTTTTTGTTCCATCAGCACGAGTTCAACACGTGCTTCGAATATATGTCAAATCAAGGATTTAGGATTACGATTAGGAATAAATCCCATCTCAAACCTAATTATCCCAACATTACCCTACGTTTGACTTTCTCTATCAACTGTTATTCAATATCGTACCAATATGTACCACACAGGTATCAAAGTCCATATATTTCTATTTTCGTTCCACATGTGGAAAAATTTTTCAAAATGATGTAATAATTTTGCAATCCAAAGCATAAAAGATGGGTTTATACACTTGGTTTAGGGATTTAGGAAGCTATCAAAAAACATCAGTGATTATCGGAAGCTGTGCATTGTTTTGTGGCACAGGTTATTGCGTTTATAAACTGTATTCCCGCAAAAGGAAAGTTGAATTGTACGATGAGAGCCCAAACAATGGACAAGAACACAAACCTGCTGTTCAGAAGCGGGTTTTAGTATTGGGTTTACAAGGCTGTGGTAAAACAACGTTTCTAACAGCCCTAGCAAATCTTGGCTCAGGGGCAGGAGGCAACGAAACTAAGCCAACCGAAGGCTTTAATGTCATGTGTGTCACAACAAACGGAGTCCATCTGAATATTTGGGAAAGTTAGTATTTTTTTGTGCTTTAATTGCGAAATCGAAATTTCTTCATGCATCTGATATTCTGATATTTTGTGATAAATAATTAAACATATTGGTTTTTATCAATTACCATTTGTGAAATTTATAATATTTATAATAACCAATAAATTATAGTAGGTGAAGTTTTTCCATTAAATAGTTTTTTATTAATCTTAACCAGTTTAGTGGCAATGTGCCCTGATGCATATTGTTTCACTCTTAACACCTCAATGGGTTAAAAATCATTCAAAACCCATTACACTAATTAACAAGCAAATCAGTATTGTAATGTGCATTTACACACGTATGTGTAATCAGACAGAAGTCCGATGCTCATTGATTGCATTCTTGGTCATTAAGGAACAAGCATGGGAAAATAACTGGATCGGCACACTTAATGTGGTGAAGGAAGGGTGAAATATTAGTTTAATGATTTACTTTTACTTACAGTTGTTTGACCTTTTTTCATAGTTGGTGGCGGAGAAAAAGTCCAAAACTACTGGTCCAAGTTTACAGCTGATACAGACTTGCTCATGTACATGGTTGACTCCTGTGATGCTGAACATTTTACAGAGGCAAAGGAAAAGTTAAATGAACTTTTAAAAGACCCTTGCTTACAAAATGTTCCTTTACTAATTCTAGCAAGCAAACAGGATAAAACTGGTGCCCGATCCATTAGTGTGCTTCAAAAAATTCTGGACGTGGATGGCCTTTTAGACACTCGATGCGTAGAATGTTTTGGAATACAGATATCGCCATTAGGACCTGAACTTCAAGGAATAGAAATTGTACAAAATTCTATTTTGAAATTCTGCACAGAAACATAGTTTGATCAATTTTAATGACTTTCTTAAGTTATTTGAATTAAGAATTTAAAAAATCTTATCATTTTATTTATGTATAAATATGCTATTTAATTTTAAATGGTAGTTTACATTTAAATTGTAGTTTACATTTAAATTGTAGTTTACATTTAAATAGTAATGTATATATTTATAAGCATGTATGTTTCTTTTCATTATATTTTTTTTCAAATTTCCGTTTTTTAGCAGTAGTAGTGAGTAAATGGTCTGACTATAGTTTTCTATATACAGCAGAAAAATAGGAAATCTTGTTATGAATATTGCATGCTAGCTCTGTGAATTGTGAAAAAATGCTCCCCCGAGTTTATTAGCAAAGATTGTTTGTCAAAAGCATTAGCAATTGAGTCATTGACAAAGGGCCTTTTCTCACGCTAACATGCAATATTAGTTATATTACCAAAGGTTTTAGCATGTTGCATTTATATTTTGTTCATTTCAATATTCAATTGTCGGATTTTAAAGATTTAAAAATCTCCTAGAATCCAAATCCAATCGGAGCAGAGATTGGAGTTAGCTTGATTAATCCAGATCTAATCCGAGTCAATCGGATTATCGCAGTCATTCAAGATGGCCGGTGTCCGAAGAAAACGCACGCAAAAGAGAAAGCGAGTAAATTCAACCTCAACCGGTCGAAAACTTAAAAAGAAGAACAAGATCAAAGTAAATGTAGATAGGTAGTTATCAACATTTCTTCACTTTGCTGAAATATTTAAACTAGTGAGAAATGGATAGTCAAAATGTGACAAGGAGCGATAAATAAATTTTCTGTTTTATATTTCTGATGTTTAGCAAGGCAATTCGCAAAACCTGGGACAAATCCAAGACACTAAAACAGAACTTCAAAGATATAGGCTTGGCCTACAATGTCAACAATAGCATGCCAGTGAAAAATACGGTATATAAACGAAATTTAAAAACGAAATTTAAAAATTGGATATATATCATTCCACGTGCTGCATAGTTGGAGCACGTGATTTCAAGATTGCAGTTTTATTTCTTCAATGAAATTATAGGGGGATAAAAGCATTTCAAGCAGTGAAGCAATGGAGGTTGATAAACAACCAAGGAATTCTGTTGTCAAAGGTAATGCTGTCAGAAAGAGGCAAAGATCCAAAAATGCCTAGATATTTTCTGGTATGGAATGTATAAATTGCTGCGGCATGGGCATGTCCAGCACACAACTAGCAGTACAGCAATATATATGTACTAGTATTTGGATGAACACTGGCCGGCCCTTTCAGCCATGAATCCCAACCAAACTCTCAATTAAATTAAACTCTAATCCTATCTTAATCCAACTCTAAGATCTAATCCTAACCTAATACTATTGTAAAACTGTGCTTCTGTAGGCTTTGTAACATTGCAGGAGATTTGTAAGGAGAATGAGCCAAGAGCATATTTCAACTGCTTTTGCAAAGAAATTACAGTAGTATCTTTATATGTTTAAAATGTAGTGACTGCAATTGAAACTGTTTTCAACTTTTACAGAACTCGAACAAGAAGCATCACATGGTGCTAAAACAGAAAAGCACATTTCTCCTGGCGAGGCAAAATTTTTGTATGAACTGATTCGAGATTATGGTGATAATTATGAGGTATACCTTATAATACAAGAAATTGTCACTCTATCATTTTGCCAAGATGGTAGAGTATGTACTGTAGTTGTAAATGCCACAGACACTTCTTACCTGTAATAGACCTGTATGTATACAGCCTCAATACACTGCTCATCCCCTTGAAAATGTTTTGAAGAATATCCCCAATTTTTGAAGAATATGCTTTCACTAGGGATTTTGCCAGCCAAATTTATTAAAAGAGTATTTAACCCATTATTATTTAACCCAAGGTTATTTAACCCATTGAGGAGGGTCTCCCAGGGGAGGAGTCTGTGTTCCCATGTCCAATTTTACCTTTGTTCCACAAGCTCCCTAGAAATCCCTGGGAGTCCCTCATTGAGCACCCTTGACAAGTGAAATCTTCTGGCGTAGGCAAAATGAAATAATAAAGTAGGGCACAATCCAACTTAATGGGTTAAACAATGCTTTAGTAATCACAGGTCTCAAGAGATGAAAGGGAAAAACGAAGCCAATATTTTTCTTGATTTTTAGGCAATGAAACGGGACAAAAGAAACTACTATCAACATACTGCAAAACAACTAAGAAGAAAGTGTACGAAATTTCTAAATTCCAGTCAGGACTTCAGTAAATATATTGACAATCCCAAATAGACATTTCAAATTCAAACATCTGTATATTTTGTATCAAAATGTTAAATAAATTAAAAAAACTTTCCACATTTTTGTTTGTTTAAATTAACCTTTAACTGAAGTGCACACTCAGAGACGTCGTATTAAGGTGGATGGGCTTCAATAAGCGTTATGAGGAAAATGATGATCGCATCTGTTGATATTTACAGAAGCATAGATAATGAAGAAGAAAATTCACCTCAATTGTCTATGATAGGAACAAGGAAAATGAACTACCATAATGTACAGTGAATAGAACTATTTTTATACTCTGGTAACTCAGGGTTGACCACCACCTTACTGCATAGTTGGTCTTAATGAAACCCACTGAACAGCACAGATTAATCAGGGGCTTAATATGGATGCAAAGAGTTACCCCATCTGGCACACAGTTTACCCTCATAGTCTATGGTGTTCTTGGCTGGCTGCGTTGCTGTTAGTCGAGAAGCCCTGGTAGCGAGGTCAGATTGTGTTTGCACAGAGTTGCACAATAGGGTAAACCTGCCCGAGAAACAGCCAGTATATGTTTGGGCGTTTTTGGTAGAGTGAACTGTTAGGCTTAATATAAACAGGCTTAAAACGTCAATGCTAGCCTATGGTAGCTCCTCGTGTGACAGGTCGTGCTAACATTTGGATCCTTTCGGTTGGAGCACTTCTAAGCGCGGGCCTCGAAACAGGCCTATCGGGTCGTAAAGGTTCCCTATACCCACTTGCGGGTTGTTTGGCTTGAGCCAGTTCTAATATCCTCTGTCTGGGAACAGCTTTCGTAGCAGCTTTAGATACCGCCCATTGTGGATCTCGCATTTCTGCGTCTTTCCTAGATTTGGGTCGAGATAGTTGATCTATTCTTGGCGATGCTCGGGCTCGTTTTGCATTCGCACTCACTGGGGTAGGTAGAGGTTTCGGGGGTTCATATTGCCCGTGTGCCTTCTTGGATCTTGCTAACTCGTTTGTTCTCGGACGCTCTTCGGCATTCCTCGCCGCCTCGCTCACCTCCCATATTGGAGACGATCTGCCAGTGCCATCCACCCGTCTGACAACGCAGAAAGAATATTAGAGAAATTGACACGAATTTTTAACTAAGCATTAACATTGAATATGTGCCGAAACGCATTGTTTGGGCTCGTTTGCACTACGGCACATGAGAAGTTCGATGTTTAAACTTGATCTTAATAGTCAATACTTACTTTTGCTCTGTGAAACCATCTGGACTTGGTTTGGGTTTTGAAAGTTCTGTGACACGTCTTGAAGCTACAGCATTCATAGCTGCCGGACTAACTTCCCATACTCCAGATTCAAGGTCCATCACGTACATTGGTCTAAAGGTAATGGTTTGAAAAAACCTAGTTTGTCAGGGGACTCTTAATCTTAACTACTTGTCAACTACCCGATACAACTGTCCCTGATAGTTTGGTCTGATGGTTTTGTAACTTGTGTCACTTTGACTTCGACTACCGTTATACCTTTGGTAGTGGGTAGTGGATGGGTATGGAAATACAATAGCAAAAACAACATTATCAAGGGTCAAAAGCATTCATTCTACCTTGGTGCATTTTCTGGTGCCTGATGATCTTTCTTTGGTTCTGCTAGTTCTGTTGTCCTTGTGGATGGTTCTGCCGTCAAAGCTGACGGATTGACTGGCCATAAACTATCTTGATCACCCCATCTCACAGGCCTAGCAAGATAGATAATAACACTGTTAATAAGTAAGGTATGCAGAAAGTGTAAATACCTGAGCAAACTAGGAAAAGGTTGTAGAAATTTGTTGCGGGAACTCGTTTTGGAAAGCAAAAATGTTTCCCCACAAATTTTGTTGCAAGAGCAATGTTATCCATTTCACCATTCTAGAATAATCTGCCGTAGATAAGGAGTTGGTGAACTTGAATTACATGAAAAGGATTGAAAACATTTCGACGTTGCTTCGAGCAAAGACCTTTCTTTAGGTTTAGTATCTGCAACTAACTTCCTGAAGAACTGCACTTCGAAGGAATTTTGACGTTTCAAACGTCAAGGTATTTCCAGTGTACTTCAGGTTGTTCAGATAATCAGATCACGACAGCGTATGTTGTTTCCTTGATCAAACGTATTCATACGAGAATTTGTCGGACCAAAGGACATTGCCCAAGGACAAATTGATTAAATTTTGGTTAAATTTGGATGAGAAATAACGAAGAGAAGATCGGGCAGAGTAAACTGAATACGTAATTAACCATTATATAATTTATGCATGATACATAACTGAATTCCTGGTGGAGTTTTATGCACCAAGTGTCTTCTAGTTTTTGTTGTTTTTCGAAACCAATATTGGTTTCTAAACAGTGCGATTATTTTACTTCTGTTGTATTAAATATAGCCTCTCTCTGCCTTGGCGCTTTTGCTAGGCTGAACGTGGGATCTCCGTTAAAACCGTTGCTATCATATTCCATCCACCCACACGCCCAAACAAACTAAACAACCGACGTTCATCCTATCATATTCTTATAACTCAGAACAAAACAACGTGCCGGTCATGCGGAACAAAACCATATTTTCACAAGTTGTTTTGGTACTTAACCGCAATGTTAATATCGTTATGCATAATTATCTAAGCTATGAAACAGGTGCAACGTTATAGCTAGTGTATGCGTTTGTGTTAACAGAAACTCGACAGTTTTCATGAAGACGAATGAATGGAAAAGAGTGATGTTTTTCGTGCTAAAAGACAAGATTTCTCTGGTGTGAGCTGTCCACGGGAATTAACTTTGTTGACAGATGAACTTCTGCAGCGAAATAAAGAAACAGTAAATAAGCGAGAGGAGCCAAGTATTTTCTTTTCAAATGCTAAGAACTTACCAACAAAAGCAGAGTCCGTGCAAGTCCTGTTTTTCACGATGAAACATAGAGAAGAACAGACACGATGTCAACTATACTGTTTGAAGGTAAATGGTGTAAGAACTTTATCAAGACGAAAGATGGAAAATGCTATCTTCTTCCGTTGGGGATGGAACTCGGTAAGATTAATAATTTCCCCCAGAAAAATTTAGTGGAAATATTCTTTTCGATGGTGGAAGAATAAGATGTACAACATCAATGGCAAATGATTCTTTGGGAACCAGCACACGGTAAGAGAAGACGACTTGGAAAGACGTACATCAATCAAATTGAGAAAGATACTGGAAATTGGAGATATGATTAGTTCAGGAAAGTAATAGCCAGAAAGGTCCTGACAAGATGGAGAAGATGATAGTGATGATGCTGTTGACGAAGGTAATTGTCGAACTTTAGGAGGACAGAAGAATACGAAACGGCTTAGATAATATGATCCTCTTTAGGACAGGAAGATAAGGGAATATAATCAGGGGAATTCTCTTTTCTTTCACAGAAATAGATGTGCATCAACGGAATCAATAACAACCCTGATGTCTATACAGGGAATTTATTGAGGAAATCTAATGATGACACGATGATTTTCATTCACTTTGAAAGACCTATCAGTCACATTCAAGGTAAGTCCTATACTGGCCATTAAAGCTATTAACGCATTGAGTCATCCAAAATATCCAACAGAGTTTCGCTGACGAGTGCGAATGAAATAAAATTTCGTACCAAATTTTATCATTTATTTTCCCATCGTAAATGGGTGGGCAGTTGATATTTAGTTTGAGTATTTTGGTACATCATACCTAAAAACACACACGCTACAAAGGCAAGGTCATACTAGCCACTATTTACATCTGTGGTTTACATAAAAACCACAAATTAGTATTTATCTATCAGCAATTATGTTTATCTTCAGCAACTAATTGATTTCGTCCAAACATATTGGCAAGTTAGGCATGAATACAGTCATTGGAAAACATGCGTTGCCACTTGCCAGCTTTCCGACTCGATGGGCACTTGAAATATTTATTAAACATATAAATATCACCATATTTATGAAATATTTAAATATAAAGTTCATAGCAACCATGCAGGTATAATATTAGACATGTTTTGCTGTACTCCGGTTTAAGTAAATGAATGTGTAATCTTCGAACAAATTACATTAACTACCTACTGTAACGTCTCAACACTCCAGTCTAGTTGTCCCCATCAGGGGGTGATCTTAGGGAAGGTTTACACTATCAAAATTTGTGTGATCACAGTAGGAATTTTGCATGGGTAAATCCTAAGTTTTAAAGGCTTTTTAAGAAATGTTTGAGGGAACTGCTCGGTGTTGAACACTAAATCAGTTCCCTTAAACATTTCTTACAAATCCTTCAAAACTTAGAATTTAAGTATGCAAAATTCCTACTGTGATGACAGAAACTTAGATAGTTCATATTTACTGGAAGATAGATAAGTGTGGCATATTACGATGTTTCGAATAGTGATGACGGTAGCTATAGAGGGTTTTCACTCAGTCCCTGAAGAACAAGACAACAAGGAAGATGGCGACCATATTGGTGTACCCAGTGAGTGTATCTGACAAAAGTATCTAATCAAAATTATTTTGTTCTGGAACACCAATATGGCGGCGATAACGTCACATGCAAACACTTTGTATCCCACAAAAGCATCTCTACCTTATTGGCCGATGCTCTCGAGAAAGGCGCTTTGTATATGTTAGAGGCGTGATCCTTCGGAATGCGAGGAAAGATACTTGAATTGTTCGAATATCTTGATGTGGGATGTAAATATTATAGTTGCATAGCAGCCGTTGCGAAAGCAAAATTTTCTAAGTAGGACAGAATAGTTCTATTTGTTCGAACCAGTTTATTTAACATTTCAAACGTGGGTGTCCAGTGCAGGTAGTTTTCTACAACATCGATATTACTTTCATCCCGACAAAAAGCCTTCGCTTGTAACACTGAAATTTTGAATCTTTTCAGGCGGTTCAGAAACAAACCATGGCAACTTATTCAACATTTGATATTTGTGGTGTTACTCTGAGTGTATATCCACACCGGGCGAGCTTGAAAAATATGCCCGGCCACGGTGGGATTCGAACCTACGACCTTTGGAATACTAGCCCATACACTCAGAGTAACACCACAAATATCATATTCACCTGAGTACACTACACCAACACAGAAATAAAATTATTATTATTATTATTAAACATTTACCAAACACAGCCTCGTATAAAATTTGGTGTGTTGTTGAAAGAAAATAGTAGACGAGGTTTGAGCCAGTGTTGGATTTAGTACGCGAGTCTGGACTTGTGGGTATGACTGATAATGACTCGAACATAACTTGGATTCGGATATTAAAGGACTTGGGCTTGGATTTGACTTGAGGATTTTATACAGATGGAGTGATGAACCTCTTCTTACAGTTTCCTATGCCCTAATAAAATACTCAAATATTTTCTTTGAGAACACAATCTTTATAATACGGCCACCCAGGGAGCGAAGATTAAATTACCTTTTCAATGACTAGTCGTTTCAACTAGAACCATCGCAGCTTATTGTAGAATTCTTGCAACATTGGACCTTACATTTGGAATAAGAGTTTTATCTTTACACTTACAGAACAATGGAGCTGCGCTGGAATTCTCGTGTGTGAAATATCAAGAGAATTCAAGAAAGTTATGCTTCTTCAAAGAGGACACTTGGAACAATACAGACTTGTAATGAATAGATTAAGTTGAGAAAGTTAACTACGCTAAATATATAAGTATTAAACAGCGACTGAAATGAATGTTTAAGTGCTTATTTAATAAATGTTTAAAAAATTGCTTGATTGATTGATTATTTTATTGATTATACCTTGCCTGTTGCTTCTACTACAGCTGTATTGGACAATATTATTGGGGAATGTGTGGATATACACTTGTTCCATTAAGTTACATTAAGCCCCAATGTTCCCTACTTTATCATTTAACTCTGTCTAATGCTAGGTGATTTTACTCGTCAAAGGGAGAGCACTGGCACTCTATAGGTGAAAATACTAGTTTCATATTACTCTGAAGATGTTGCGAGAAGCACCGTCAGTTAAAATAGAATTCCGCACCGGAATCGCAGAGGCGCACGCAAGTTCGAGCCCTGCTGGAGGGCCTAGATTTGCATTTTTTGCAGCTGCTGGATCTCACATTATACATTTAACAACAAAACTTTCATTTAAATAAAACTTTACAAAACTTATAGAACTTTTAATTAATATCGCAAGTATATATCTTGCTAACTTTTTTATTTAAAATAATTTTCCCTAAGGCAGGTGCAACAACGAAGTCCCATGCAAGGATGTACACCTAAATTATTTCTAATACGTATATATACTGTACTTAGAAATTAATAATTTGAAATTTAAAATAATTTCTTTATCATTTATATTCATTAAAGTCATTCACCATTAATTTACGATATTTATCCAATATGATAATACACACTGACTCTGAAACGAATCCTAACAGTTGAAGTTTTCGAGCCCGCGATATGTTTACATGGATATACATTGTCAGTGATTTCGTACTTTATAGGATCCGAACGACGCAAAACGTCGTGGTTTTACCACACGAGGTAAGCTTTGGTAGGAGGATACATGTAATTATATGGTAGGAGGTTATATGTGAATTTATGTGGAACTTGAATACCGTTCGTAAATCTATCAGTGGTGAATCGCAGCCGTCCAGCAGCGGACTTAATCATTTGTTGTTCTGTAGCAGAAGTACAAGAAGACACAATTTATTCCAATCTTTGATAATTTCAACATTTTGCTGGCAACTCTACACCATTCTTTATGCGAAAATCTACCACACTGAGATATGTCCAGTATAGCATTGGATAATCGGCATGCCAATGGTTATATTGGACATGAATACAACACTCTCCATATACTGACCAACCACGCGACCTCACTAGACAGCCGGGCCCAGTCTACGCCGGGAAGCTGTAGAAAAAAGGCCATGTAAGGTGTTTGGTTGCCATGAGAGCATCACGGATTAAAATTCATACTCATGTCCTGGAAAGCTACAAAACATGGAAATGGTTGTGCGTCGCAAAAGAGGATGCTAAAACTGGCGATTGTCTAACTAGGTCCAAATTGCTTGTTGTACAACATACAGGTGTTGTATTTGACCAAGTTAGTCACCCCAGATTCGTCCTTAATTAACGAATTTAGCCTGCGACATTTTTCCCTTATGCACTGTGACGCGCGACTGCCGGAATATGCCGCAAAAAGGATAGCAAATACAAAGTATTCTGGGAGTAGTTGTCACGCACCACAAAGAAACGTGATTTATATAATTGGTCTGAGAAAAAATGTCTGCTTCAAAAAATTAGGGTTGGAAGGTCAGAATTTTTTTATTTTATATATTATTTATTATTCAAATAACCTTATATATCATGCATAAATTAATTAAGCATTGCTCATTCAGCTAACTCTGCCTAATAAAGCAAGAGAAACTTTACTAATTTCTCACCCACTAGATTTTCATCCAACCTTAACCAAAATTCCATCAATTTGTCATTGGGCAATGTCCATTAGCTGTCTCCGCAGCAGAGGCGATTGGAATAAGCTTACATGAATCTTACATGAAGTTTATATTGGGGAGAGGAACGCGCGCGGGGGGCGACGGGAAGACGGCTGCCCGCGCGTCTCCCTCCCCCCAGGAAACTTCATGTAAGCGCGCCTCTCCCCAATCGAAACTTCATGTAAGATTCATGTAAGCCTATTCCAATGTCCTTTGCTTTTTGCTTTGCTTTAAAGAGCTTTATTAACATGACCTATTTACTGCGGAGGAGAGAGGTTCATTAGTCCCACAAATTTTTGTAATACTTTTGATATTTTAAGCTATCCTGCTGACAGACAAGCACACACACACAAACAGACACAGCCGGCGAACGCGTATGAAAACATCTGGCGCAGGCAAAAATACGGTTGGGAAAAGAGTGCGACCGCGATTAAAAATGCAATCTAAAGGGTTCATAAAAACTGACATGAATATCTGTTAGTTTGACTGTTCATTTACATATCGAGAAAACTGTCAGGCATGAAAGGATTAGGCAACGTTTTTTAAAAATACGTTTTTTATCCATACATAATATTTAAATCAATAATTTGATGCTTACCTAAAAGTAGTCATTTCAACACTTCTTGATTGTTTTGGCTGCGCTAGTCTATTGATGCGTGGTCTAAATTATACGGAAAAAATAAATTCAGCTCTATTTGATAAGAATTGTTTTGGCTTCATAAAGCGGTAAGAAAGTTTTGATTCCTTCGTATTTAACTCAAGGGCTGGTTGTAGACGAAAGCCGGATAGCGCAATTAACCAGATGGGGAATTTTTAAATCAAACTTTCTCAATTGACCAATGATTGATTAATTGGTATAATCCCGATTACGGTTTTGGAAAATGAAAGTTTTTATGCATTTATTCATTTATGCATATATGAGTCCACGCATGTTTTACAGTTTTTTTTACAAAGATTGAAAAAAAAATCAATGTCCGGTGGATAGCGCTATCTGACCAGTCGTAACCAAGTCGTACAACCACAATCCCAGAAGGACGTGCGGCAGATATCGTTCAAAAACCTGCGATGTTCAAAAAACTGCGGTGCAGTGCTCGAAACATAACTGCAGCAGCTGCAGCGGTTGTCCCAAAGCCGGTTAGCCCAACTAAAATTCAAAGCGAACTTTCCAACAGCTTGTTTATAAACTCGAAAGTATATTTCTTCACAGTTATCGAGACGCTCGATTGTGTGTCTACTCAGAAATGGATACAGTCTCTTGAGTCTACTAGTCTAGTGTCTACTCAGAAATGTATGCATATACTCATTTCATTACTACTGCCCCTACACAAAATGCGATATGATTCGAGGATTTTAGTGGTACCCCGATGTTGTACTTGAATAAAAGAAACAGGAGTATAGGTCACTATAATATCTGCCCCTTGAGCACAACAAGCAATACTATCTTTCACCAAATTCCTAGAATTCTCAAAATATTTCAATCTTCTTAGACGAAACAAATATTCAACATATATACTTACAATCCCTTCTCACGAGTCGCATTATCCAAGTTGGGCAAAGGATGATTGACCTTGTGAACGCGAACGGCTGCAATAAAACGCCAAAATAACAATGAATAACATCGCTAATTACTTCATTTAACCATAACAACCAAATATCCCACTGGCAACACACTAGGGCTGTATGTATTGAAAATAATATATCACTCCCCAGCGTTTTCTTACATTGAAAGGCAGACCAGTATCTGTGGTCATTTGCCAAAGATAACATTCCTTGTCAGAATAAAGTTGAATAATTTTAGTTTTGTGTTTGTTTGAGAGCACACAAGCATGGACTTCGTTTGACATTAGTTGCCATTATTATTATAAGTTATTTTAATCATCTTTCCTGATTGGTTAACCACTTGGCAACCGCGTCGGTGTTACTAAGGTAACCAGACTTATGTACTTTACATATTCATGTTTCTTTCAACCAATCATGATGGCCTTTTGTAATTCGTCCACAACTAAATCTGCCTAGAAGTATTGATTCCAAGGCTAAGTAGAACTTTATTAAATTTATCAATTATAACAATTTCTAAATTATTTATTTGTTAGCAACTCATAAAGCCTGTGGAATACACGTTTATGATGCAATTTTCCACAATAAAAAATTCTATGCATGGTTTTACTCGCAATTTCTCATGACACATTATATTTCAATATAATTATTATTGGTTTCTGGAGTGAGTGACAGTATAATCTTACTTTGAACTTTTGACCCTGTTAAAAGCTGTCAGCTAAATCATTAGAACCTCATCTGTTAAAATAGCCGCCAAATTTATGCAAAATTGAAATATCAGTTTGTCAGAATAGACTATCATGTTTCATGTTCAAGAAGAATAAAATGATTAGCGTGAGCAAACATCCAGCTATGCCGAACCAAGGCGCAGTAAAACACTGTCCTGTCTTGCCAAACTTAGCCGAGATAAAGCTATAGTCAGGGTCGCATTACTATCTATGTTCGTGAGGGATAATATAATAGATACTTCCAAGGAAACACAATAGTGGAAGGGGTGCAAACACAATGGAATTCCTTATAGCGAGTATAGGTAAATTTGCGGCGTCCTTAACCTTGGAAGGGCCTATTATGTATGATCACTTTATTGAATCCTCTTATCTTCCTTAGTGAATTCACATAAAACACCCACACGACTTTGAACGTTTTAACTGTTGGCCGTGAAAATGATGCAAATAATGGAGCAGGTTGAACAACTGCGGCGTACGGGAATCCTCAAGAGAATACAATTTATAGTCGCCTTTGTCTCGGAGTAAATTCTATTGTTGATAATCACTCCTTCATAACGTTGTATTCCAAACTCATAACAACTTACGTCTTTGAGCTGGTTTCCTTTTTTCTACCTCTTCAGCATCGGAAGCAAGTTCTGGCGAGACAGCTTTCCCATCTGCAGGCTCTCTTCTTGCCTGTTTCGCCTTCGGAAGACGTGTTCTGCGAGCTAGAGGAAGGAATACGCAACTTTTAAGTTCTGCTCAAATAAAGATGAGAGGAGGCAAGCGAGTTTGCTGGATGAGTTTTCTCAAAATGCAACACTAGGTTCTCTGGTAGGAATCGAACGTGCAATTTCGGTAACGCAAAGCATTGCAGCAGAATTGTAGGGCCGTAGGTTCCATTCCTGCCAGAGGAAGTAGTGTTGTATTTCTCGCAACCGTTTCTTGTTAGGTATAAAAACTATATCGTAACTTGGGTTATTTATCTACTTCATCATGCTTTATTGTTAATATACTAGAATTAAATTTATTAATTAAATTTAATAATTTGAATTAAATTTAAAAGATATAACATTGTTTTTTCCGAACAACAGTGAAAAATATTTTGCAGAATGCGATAACGCGCATCATATTTCGACATTCCAACATACAGTCGATCAAAGTTTAAAGTTAAATTACATATAGCTACACACTATAAATCAAAATACACAAAACGCAAGTCATGCCTAGTAAACATTTTACCGCTTTTAGCAGTCCCAGGTTTTAATGTTGTTCCAGTATAAAACGACGCCATTTTGATTAATGTTCACAAAAGTTACTGTACAATAATGACGAGGCGATAATGAATGAATGACAGTGAACAAATTAAAATGCTTGCTAGGTTATAGTTATACATGTCCGTATAAACATATACGGTAGTTGCTATGCTAAAAGAATAACAAAAAAAAACGCATAATGCAGGTTGTTTACGTTTTAATTATTAATACTGAATCTAGAATGATGTGAAATGCTTTGGTGCGGTTTCCAAGGACTGGGAGCTTCGAAATGTATTTGAAAAGCAGGTGGAAGATTGGGAAACTCTGATTGGTTAAAGCTCAGGTTAGACTCAGCCAATCGCACTAAAGAACGAGCATTTTCAAATTAAGTAGGCAGCACAGCAGAAGCTGGATAGATTAGGCCGAGGAACAAGTTGGGAGAGGATGAGATTTTGTGAAAAGAGAAAAATAAACCGTAACATGAGAGACAAGGATGTCTAGGATATAGTGTATTGGCTCATTCATTCAACAACTTCACTCATTCAGCATTCAACTAATTCATTATTCAACACACAAGAGGGAGCAAGGCGAAGACCTACCTGGTGGTTCTTTGTATTTACCGTACGGCCGATACTTTTGTTCTTTTTTGTCCGCAATTCTTGGCAGTCTCACACCGCCACGAGGAGTTGTGTCCTCAACTAAAAATAAAAAAAGTTGCATATATACTCTATAGACGAGACAAACAGTACGAGGTCCAGCCAATTAATGAATATAACTAGCAATTCACACGAATCCACGCTGAACTTACTTTCAGAATCACGAACTGAACTAAGATGAGCACTATCAGTCCCGCTGTTTCTTCTTGACGATCTCCGAGATCCTGGGGCACTTGGGTAGTCTTCATCATCGTCCTCCGACGTATATGACGTCACACTACCACGCCTTGACTTTGACTTCGATCTTGAATTTGACCTTGACCGCTCGCTCCCAGACATGGACATCCCACGGGCTATCCCAGCATCAAAAGCCATCTTGTAGATATTTTCCATCATTTTCTTCTGTTGCCGAGAGTAAACACTTGCGACACTACTCACACTTGCAAAGCTGTCGTTTCTTCGTAACGCAGGTCTAGTGTTCGTCCGGGGGCCTAGACCTCTACCTTGTGCACCCCACGCTTGCTTACGACCACCTCTAGATCTCGTACTCGCTCGTGAGATGCTACTACCCCGAGTACCAGAACGTTTTGGCACAGGTCGCTCTTTCTTCTTCGGAATTCGTTTTCTCTTGCTGGGTTCCTCCAGTTGAGAGTTTTTCCTGGAAAGAGGTTCTCGTCGTTTTCTTGGGTCATTCTTTGACAGTGCTTCGGATCTTGGCCGGGATTTCCGATTGCTTGCAAGACTCCGACTTGAATCTCGACTTTGCAATTGGCTTCGAGTACCAGGTTTATTCTCGCTATTTTGACGAGACACTTTCCCCCGACTGGTCTTGCGACTCCCTGGGGGCTCGTCCTCAGCCCACGCCTTCCTGCTCTGTCCACGCCGTGATGATATACTATACCCTCCCTCGCTATGTTTACTCCAGCGCGAATTATTTCGATTAGAAACTACCGAACCATCTCGAGACGTCGTCGAGCGATTCCGTGTTTCACGGCCGCTCGGATCGGAGTACGAGTTTCTCCGACTCATCCCGATGGAGCTCTCGGAAGCACTCTACTTGGAGCTTTTGAACTGTTATTCTTCGACTGGCGTGTGCTTACACTGGTCCGGGGGGTGAGGATGCTACTAACACGACTGTTCACACTACTTGAATAATGAGTATTACGACTTGTACTTCTTGATGCCCCAGGCTCTTTGGCCGCGCTCCAGTCAGTTTCAGTCGTAGTGTCGCCATCATCGACACTACCAAATATGGTATCATCATCGTCATCATCCCAACCACTCGTCGAGTCACCTTCGGTGGCACTTCGGCCGCTCACACTATTCTTTCTGCTGGCTCGGCTACGTTTCCCTTGCCTTGCACTTTCGTCGTCGGTCGCTTGAGGAATTTTTATCGGAGTGCGAGACTTTGACCTAAAAGAAATAAATATGGAAACAAACACGTGATAAATATAGAGGAGAAAATATCAAACATGTAAATACACCCTTCCGGAAAATATTTTGCCTTGGTTATACAGCAGCGATTTCGTGATTAAGACCTCGGTTGTAAAGAACCTTTTACTACTATGTTATTGGCAACGTAATTTTATAAAACTCTTTTTACATGACCTATTATATCTGTATGATTAAAACTATTTTTGTAAATGCGTCGTCAATACCAAGATAAAGGATCCACATAAGTCAATGTCTCAAAAACAAAAACGAGGCTCTATAGCCAAAGCTAAGTGGGACTGCAATCAATTATTTAATTCCAGAACAGCGAGCGGAACTATCCTGAATGTCTGACATTATCTGATATTGAACTGACAAACTTTATGTGGTTACCTGTTGTCATCATTATCTTTGGAGTTTGGGTTGTCTTTGCCTTGTGGCCTTCCTCGAGATCGTCTACCAGGCTTTGCATCATCAACACTTAACAAGTTTGGGTTTTCTTTGCCGCCTTCGCCCTTCCTTGATTTAGATTGCATCTTCCCGTCTTGAGGGCTATTTCTCACATCACGTTTTGAAGGGTCTGGTTGATCTCTAGAATTCTTTTCCCGTTCCCTTGGTGTTTTCTGCTCTCGACTGTCATTCCTACTTGCATTGCTAGGTTTCTGACTTTCTTTAGGATCACTTCGTTCTTTGCTATCTGCTTTTCTTTGGTTTGTGTCTTCACCGCGAGGTTGGTCCTTTTTAGCATCCGTTTCTTTTCCGACAGGATTGGAAGACCTTTGATCATTTGCGGGAGATATTTTATCCTTAGGGTCAGTTTCCACGCGAGGGGAATATTTATTACCGCTCTTAGGATCGCTTCTTGGACTGTTTGTTGATGCTTTATTGGACGGTGATCTTGTCGTTTTGTTGTCGTTTGTGTCATACTTAGATTTGTCTTCTTCATGCTTCTTGGTTTTGGAAGGGTCGTTTTCGTTAGGTTTAGACGTAGGACTAGCATTTGGTTTAGCATTCTGTATATTGGGTAGTTTGGAAGGGTTGACATCTTGTCTAGGAGTAGTGGACGACTTTTCCTGGGCTTTACCCTTCTCATCGTTTGGCTTAGAATTTGATTTATTGGCTTCGTTTGGTTTTGAAACAATAGTGTCGTTTTCTGGTTTTACAGTTGATGGATTATGCATTTGATTATTCTGCTCAGTTTGTGTAGAAGGCTTTGAATTCGTACTTGCTGATGGAGTAGGATTGTCCTTTGTATTTGGTTGATTCGGTTTAGGGCTATCGCTTGTCGTGGAAGCTGGATTTTCTTTTTCGCCAGCCTTAGCTCGTTCGTTCGCAGTGTTATTCGCATTCCCGTCGTTCTTATTCGGTACTGGTTTATTTTTCCCCTCCTCAGTAGGTTTAGGACTGTCCTTGTCATCATGTTTGTTCTGCTGTCCTTCTTTGTTAGCCTGTGGTTTTGAATCGTTCGGATCTACATTAGCCATGACCGCACCTGCCGCGGTTGCTGCGACTATAGTATTTGTTGGTGTGTTATCATGTGCACTTGGTTTATCGCTTGGTGTAGCATTGGATCCATTCTCATTACTGGGTTTCGGTGACGATTGATCTGAGGTTGTGGTGTTTTGTTTTTCATCTGGTCTATCATTCACGTTCGCGGATAATTTTGCTTCTTCCTTATCAATTGGCTTGGGTGGTTCCGTATCATCCGATTTAGAAGGGGATTGCTCTGTACCATTTGGTTGAGGTTTGTCTTGTTGAGTATCCTTCGGTTTTGGTGAAGATTGTATCTCCTGGATAGAAGTATTTGTTGGTTGTGCTGTACTACTTGGTTTCGTCTCCGCTTCTTTCTTTTCATCTGATTTTGCGTCAGTTTCGTTTGGTTGACTTGCTTCAGTTGCTTTCTTTTCAGCTACAATCGGATCAGTAGACTTAGGATCACTTCGACTTTCCTCATTCTGTTTCGGGGAGGATGATTCCTTTACACTTTGCTCAAGAGGTGCGTCGCTCTTTTCATATGGTACGCTTTTATCATCATTATTAGTCGTTGCTTGCTGCGCTTCAGATTTCGGACCGGAATGACTGTCTTCAATCGGTTTGGTGGCATCGCCATTTTTGTTATCTGACGTGGGTGTAGACTTGCTTTCATCTTTTGGTGTTTCTACGTTGTTATCATTGGACTGAGCTTTACCTTCGTCTTTTTGCTTCGGTTTAGCCGTATTTCCAGCAGTTTCCTTCGCCGAGGTTTGATCTTTCTTTGGTGAGGATGCTTCTTCATTGTTTTCTCCAGGTTTATGAGTACTTTTATCATCATCGTTATTTTTTGTTTGTGATAAATAGTCCTTAGATTTCGACGTATCATTATTGTTCTCGTTAGGCGGTATGAGTGGAGTACTTTCCACTGGTATAAAACCGATTTTATCAACTGACGTTGCCTTTCCACCATTCGTCTCGTTTTCTTGAGTATCTTTTGCATGTGATGGTTCCTTTTCACTCGGTTTTGGTACAGCATTCTCTTGTTGCTTAGATTTATCATCGCGATGACCTTCAGGCGATTCTTTCCCCTTTGGCACTTCCTCTTCTTTTGGTTTCGTCGGAGAGCTCTCATTGTCACTCGATTGGGCCGGAAGGTTTTCATCCTGGCTTTGGTTATGCTTAGACTGTTCCTTATCTGAGGAAGGGCTGCTTTTTAATTTATCTTCCTCTTTCGTTTCTTCTCTAGACGCACCATCATTGGATTTATCTTTTGACTTGTCATTTGCAGAAGATATGGGTTTATCTTTTTCTGTTGATGGAGGCGAAATGTTATCATTTTCTTTCGGTTTGTCGCTACTCGTGTCCGTTGGTGAAGATGATTTTTCTCCTGCTTCGGTTAGTTTTGAGATTTTGCCATCATTTGATTTTCCTTGATCATCTAGCTCAGGGTTTTCTTTTGATGTGTCTTTTTCTCGCGGTGCAGATTCGTCTTTCTTTGAAGAATTCGAAGGACGTTGATCGTTTTCTTTATCTTTCTCGTGATTTTCACTTGGTTTATCTCCGGACCGATCCTTATCAGTTGACGTCGGCGTAGTATCGTCGCTAGATTGCGGTTTTTCACTAGATTTAGGTAAAGATTTGTCCTCATTAGCACTTTCTTTCGACTCCTTTGATTCGGCAGGCTTTGAATCGTTCTCTAAAGACTTGGAAGGCGGTTGATCCTTTGGTTTCGAGGTACGACCTTCTTCCTCACTTGACTTGGAGGGACTCTGACCTCCTTTTCCATTTGTTTCTTTCTCATTTGGTCGCGATTTTGATTGATCGGACTCTTTAGGTTTTGATGTTCCACTTTCTTTTTCTGGTGTTGTAGCAGAACTGCCCTTTTCCTTCTCATTTGATCTTGGTGAAGTCCGGTCTTTTCCATTCGACTCCTTTGGTCGAGACTTAGATTGTTCAGGTCTCGACGTACCATCTTTCTCATTTGAACGATCTGAATCTCTAGTTTCTGAACTACCTTTTTCTGGCGATTTTGAAGAGCTACTCTTATCACTAGATCGACGATCTTTCTCATTTGATCTAGAACTAGTCTGGTCTTTTCCACTTGATTCTTTGTCACTTGGTGTCGATTTCGATTGATCTGATTCCTTTGGTTTTGTAGTTCCACCGATCTTTTCTGGTGAAGTAGAACTACTCTTTTCACTTGGTTTGGAATCTTTTTCATTTGACTTGGATGGAGTTTGATCTTTTCCATTAGGATCTTTGTCATTTGGTCTAGATTTCGATTGATTAGTCTCTCTTGGCTTTGAAGTTTCATGTTCTGGCTGCTTAGGAGAAGAACTGCGTTTATCGCTGGATTTACGATCGTTTTCCTTTGAACGATCAGAATCTTTAGGTTTTGAAGATTCAGTATCTTTTTCTGGTGGTTTGGAGGACGGACTGCTCTTGTCGTTTGGTTGTGAGCCTCGCGGATCCTTTTCACCTGGCTTTGAAGAACTGCTCTTATCACTAGGCCTCGAGCTACGATCCTTTTCATTTGATCTGGCAGGAGTCTGTTCTTTTCCATTTGACTCTTTATCATTTGGTTGAGGTTTAGAGCGATCGGATTCTTTGGGCTTTGTGGTTTGGGCATCTTTTTCTGCTGGTTTTGAAGAAGAACCGCTTTTATCGCTGGGCTTCGAACTACGATCTTTCTCATTTGATTTGGCCGGAGTCAGATCTTTGCCACTCGACTCTTTATCACTTGGTTGAGGTTTTGATGTTCCACTATCTTTTTCTGGTGGTCTAGAAGAACTGTTTTTATCGTTTGGTCTGGAGTTTCGACTGTCTTTTTCATTTGATCTGGAAGGGGTTTGTTCTTTTCTACTCGATTCCTTTTCACTTGGCCGCGGCTTTGATTGGTCAGACTCTTTAGCCTTTGAAGTTCCACTGTCTTTTTCCGGTGGTTTTGTAGATGGATTACCCTTGTCAGTTGGTTGTGAACTTTGAGGATCCTTTTCTTTTGATCGTGAATTTCCACTTTCCTTTTCTGGTGGTTTTGAAGAACTGCTGTTATCACTGGGTCTGGAGCTTCGACTGTCTTTCTCATTTGACTTGGAAGGAGTCTGATCTTTACCACTTGAATCTTTGACATTTGCTCGTGACTTCGACTGATCCGATTCCTTAGGCCTTGAAGTTCCGCTATCCTTTTCCGGTGGTTTTGAAGAACTGCTCTTATCACTGGGTCTGGAGCTACGACTGTCTTTCTCATTTGGCTTGGAAGGAGTCTGATCCTTCCCACTTGAATCTTTGATATTTGCTCGTGACTTCGACTGATCCGATTCCTTAGGCCTTGAAGTTCCACTATCCTTTTCTGGTGGTTTTGAAGAACTACTCTTATCACTGGGTCTGGAGCTACGACTGTCTTTCTCATTTGACTTGAAAGGAGTCTGATCCTTCCCACTTGATTCTTTAACATTTGGTCGAGATTTTGTAGGATCAGATTCTTTTTGTCTTGAGGACTCGCGAGTATCTTTGGGTTGTGACGCTGTTTTGTCTTTGTCAACAGGTTTTGAATCGCTGGGCTTTGACGACGATTGATTCTCATCAGTTGGTTTCGAGCTACGATCGTTCTTTTGAGTGGGTTTGTTGGTATCACTTGGTTTAGCAGTGTTTCCTTTCGGTTCCGATGTTATTTTGTCTTTGTCAACAAGTTTCGAGCCAGTGCTTTGGTTTTCACTTGGTTTCGAAGTACTGTCACTTTCTTTGGGTCGTTCTTTTGTATCGCGGTTACTTGAGCGTCTTGGTTCGTCCTCTCGTGGCTTCGCTGAAAAACAAGATGTTGGCATGGATGAGTGGTTATAACAAACTCATGAAACCATTCTATAAATTTTTGTTATATTTGAAAACTTTTTCTTTTCATACTGGTTGAAACAGTAATGATGGTGAGCAATTTAATTGATGTCGGTTAGAAAGGGTGTGTTTAACCCGCTACTCATGATACAAGCACTCCACAACTGAAGGGATAGATTCAGTGACGGAGGAACTGGAGGACATGGAAGTACAGGATAGGAACCAAATCCTACTTACACATCCGTTTTCAAGCACACTAGGCACGTTACCCAAGCTAACCAGGTGATCTCGGAACTCGGAAAAGGCCTGGCACTACTTGTAAAATAGAAATCCATTTCTGGTTTAAAATTACTCAATATCTCATTAACGGTGTTAGATTTCTATCTCAAATTTGCCCAGATATTCATTTCACTGTGCAAGACACAGACACAAAGTTTCAAACAGTTTCACAAAAGAATCAGGGCGTGACAAGTGATTGAAGGTATGAAACTGGATTTCTATTTTGTTGCCAGTCCCAGTCCTTTTGCTCGCTGTCAGATCATCTGGAAGTAATGCCCGACCCTCAACCTACTACTGTAGCATGTCTAACTTAGTGATACGAGGTAGCTGCGGTCCCATAAATAAACCCGTTTTAATAACAGAAATCTACAGTATCTTACAACTATCTCGGCCTTGTCTGGTCGATGTTCTTCTTGATCTGACGTCATCATCGTCATCATCATCCATATCAACTTCTGACGTCATCGCGCTTTGTCTTGACATCGTTTTACGCGAGGCTCGCCTCTTTACAACCTTGTTATTGTTGAGCTGTCTTTCCAACATCGCCAGATTGGCAATTGTGAGCGGAGCTACGTTGCTTTTCGCCATTTCTGGAAGTGTTACTTCGTGTGACTTAACTTAATCTCTCTGCAAAACAACAAGGTAAAACGAACTTGTCACGTACTGAATCTCATGCAGGTCTTTATTTAACTTCATTAATATTAGATTTAGCACACGAAGGTTCGACGTTTGAAACCTGATACAAGTTTCTTCGATGACATACGAACACTCTTTCACTTTACGTCTCAAACTCATTAATAATTCATGAGTAAATTAGCCACTGGACCATATTACCTGGTGAAGTACATTGATGCAGTCCTAGCACTGGATCAAAATTAATTGAGTCCTTGGACTGGATCGAAACTAATTCACCTCACTTTAAGTAGTGATTTATTCGTATGAGATGCCATTTCAAATCCGACTATGAGGACCAGGGTCTTAGCTAGGATTTTAGATCTTGGGCGTGTTTCTAAATGACCTGGGTGTGCGTATTTCTAGTTATGCTCGCCAACAACAGACAATGCCTGTGGTTGTTGTAGGCTTTGCAACCAAATACAAGGCTACGCTCACATTGCGTACTGACATTAAAATATTAAGTTTTTTCAGCAACTCTTGGGGGTATTTAAAACCATTTTATATAATACCATATGGTTCCCATTATCCATCAAAACATTAAAACATCACAGATCACTTTTTCCAATTTCATCAATTACAGTGGATTTTAGAAACTTTCTTACAACGAAAATGGGAAGAAATGCTGTATGTTGTAAGCAGTAACACCTTATTTTATGAACCTACACGGCCTTATTTAATTAATGAAGCCGCGTTCATTTTATCTAGCCGTGTTTTTCTATTTTTGGCCGCGATAACACGGCCAACACGGCCCTCTAGCTAAGACCCTGATGAGGACTGGACTACATTTTAACTGGATTGAGAGGACTGACTCGCATTTTGATGAAATTGCGCCAGTCCTCATACTCGGATTTGAAATATTACTTTAAATTCAATTACATGTAGATTATTCTCCAGTTAAACCATCGCAACTCATTTTTCGTAACTTTGTTTTAAAAACTCTTCGACTTTTGTAAACACGCCTACATATTGCAGACAGTCTGGCCATAAAATTCACTCAAATTTTACACACTTCTTAGCTTTTTTCTTGAAAGTCAACTATATTACCTAATAGTTTGTCAAGTTTAGTTTAACACGCTGATACATTAAGGCAGTAAACACACGGGCAATATACAGGACATATGAAGGTCAGGTGCATCATTAATAATCCTTTACTACGCAATAAGAACATCATTAAAGTTATTGATTACAAGAAAGCGAGTACATATTAATGTCAAAACAGTCAACAAACCTTAAAAATATTACAAACAGCGTTTCTTCAGGTGCTTTTAGGCAACTGGCAAAGCAACAGAGTAGGCCATGATTTTCAAACACACATTGCCTGTATATGAAAAATACAACTGGTCGTTACTAGGGAGATTGAAGGTTGGAGGTAAAGGTTGTATTAATTATTCAAGTCCTACATTTGGATAACAAACGGGTGGCAACTGAATGCCGATTTAATTAGATAGATTTATTCAACTTAAAAGACTCGCAGCCTTGCACGTCGGCTGAATAATGTTAAGTTGTACAAGTACATGTAAAAAATTAGATCGACGAACCGTAATAAAAATTAGTTCGATTCAGTTACGTGTTTACATGCATTACAATTAATAAAATCATTCTTAAATCTATTTGTCTTAAAATTAGGAATTTGAAACATTCTTCCTCGCAGGCATAGTTCTGAAGAGTTCATTGGAGGCAATAAGTCATGTAGTTTATTAACGAATAACGTTCTCAGGATCGTGGACTATATTTTTAAAAAGTTTGTTAGTTAAGTTCTGTCTTCTTGCAGCCAAGGTAGTGCGACCCAATTGACCCAGGGCTTCATTACACCGATGATCTGGCAATATTATTCGACAATATTGATATGGGCGATAATTAAATTGCCTAAATTAAATTCAATGACAGGCCTAAGAGTATGTTCTGGAGCGGGTCGAAAGGAAAAATAGTTCTGCACATTTGTGAAAACGTTGATAATTATGGACGGCCCATCCTCGTTTGACGAGGCCACGCATGACGAGATCACGCATGACGAGGCCACGCATGACGAGGCCACGCATGACGAGACCACGCATGACGAGACCACGCATGACGAGACCACGCTGGAGCGGGTCGAAAGGAAAAATAGTTCTGCACATTTGTGAAAACGTTGATAATTATGGACGGCCCATCCTCGTTTGACGAGGCCACGCATGACGAGATCACGCATGACGAGGCCACGCATGACGAGGCCACGCATGACGAGACCACGCATGACGAGACCACGCATGACGAGCCCACGCATGACGAGACCACGCATGACGAGACCACGCATGACGAGACCACGCATGACGAGCCCACGCATGACGAGACCACGCATGGCGACGGCCACGCATGACGAGACCACGCATGACGACGATGACGAGGCCACGCATGACGAGATCACGCATGACGAGGCCACGCATGACGAGGCCACGCATGACGAGACCACGCATGACGAGACCACGCATGACGAGACCACGCATGACGAGGCCACGCATGACGAGACCACGCATGACGACGATGACGAGGGCACGCATGACGACACCACGCATGACGAGGGCACGCGTGACGAGATCACGCACGACGAGGGTGAATTAGAGGCTCTACTTAACGGACGTTTATTCAAGTTCCCAAACAACACCCGTCTATGTATATATTCGTTTAGTTTGCTGCTTCATTCAGATGGCGCTTCTGTAAAGCGGACATCTCCATAGGTGTCCGTGAATTAGATTTTCGACTCTGGTGCAATCACTATCCTATAAAAGATACCAATTGAATGGATGAAAACATTAAGAAAGTTAGTACCAACTTCTTAGGGTCTTCGCTTAAAGTCTTTCCACAATGGCGTAACTCCTATGGGAGTCGCCTGGGGGCCAGGGCCGCCGAGAGGTTGGCGGGGGCCCGGGGCAATTCCCCCCCTCTCGGCGGCCCTGCTGGGGGCTCCCATCATGACAAAGTGACAACATGGAAGATTTTTAAACGATTGTTACACGTGTTTTTTTAGACGCATCACTCTAGACACCATCACATAAAAACAGAAAATCTGTACGTTGAACGACTATGCAAACGAGTTTATACTTCGTTTATGAATGCTAAATAATTTTATTGGTAATGTTACCACCCTGCAGGGTCAGAGAGGGATCTTTTCAGTTCTTGCCGGGGGGTCTTAGCCGAAAGTCTAGGTGTGCTTGATTGGTTTTAGGTTTTTTAAAGACAAACTATGTGGCAACTTATTGTAGAACATTGATCTACAATGGTCCCCTGCACGTTCAAGCCTTTGTAGTTAAAATGAGTCGAATACACAGCGGGCAAAATGTTGGAAACAAACAAATGCTAAAAATATTGCATAAAAGCCACTTCGTAACGCAAGAGGGTACTTGTGAATATATCTAAGACCACACGCGTTTATATTGAACTAACAGAAGATTCGACGGAAACGTCTTTATGATCACTACCAGTATCAAAATGGCTTCAGGCAACTTCATATACGTCTACTATAAGAACAGAAACTCCAGTTTTACCTAAATCTTCATATGTATGCATGCATTTCCAGCTTTAACTGAAAAACAAAAACCTTGATGTTAATAAGTGAACGTTGATATGTAATCTGTAAAGAAGGAGGTAGCTGTGGACTGTCGTGGTTTTAATCCAGCCACTTGAAATCACGTTTCGAGCAACGATCGTTCGTCATGATGTTAGTAGTCAAGGCTACTGGCTTCTAGATGAACGACCTTCGCTTTTGCTCGAAACGTCGAGGTATTCATAATCTTTTTTAAGGTATTCATAATCTTTTTTAAGGTATCATGACTTTTCCGACTGTTTATTGTACAGTACTAACATACTGAAATTCATTTGAAAAAAAATATTAAAAAAAATATTCCGAAAAGATGTACATTGAAAATGCAATATATGGACTACAAGACTTGACATGTACGTTTTCAGGTACATTTGGACGTGATATTTGCATGCCCAGTGCAGAGTCAAATGAGAGAAAACTGGCTTGACTCTCCATGGCCGGATTACCACAATACCAATGTACTCGATAATACTAGCTCAACATACCAGTATACCTAAAATTCCAGGCTACGTCTGTCTGCCTGAGTACTCAATCTTGGGTAAATGTAGGATATTATATACCCATATTTCAACGGCTATTTTAACAATAAAATACTGTATACCAAAAGTAAAATAGTCTAAATACCAATATACCTGAAACCTGATCGGGCCTGCTACACGCATGCTCCGTTGGGAGCAAAGTTGTTACTGAAAGATTTTTTATAAAGAAATGCAAAACGAGTGTATCAGTATGATGAACTAATATAGGAGCAACAACAGCTGACTTGAACGCATGTTAATGCATAATCCTCATGCATATAATTGAAATCTGCTTGTTGTACACATTTTATTGCTTGTATTTTGTCGCTGTAAACAAAGATGTTTAAGATCAGCCCTATTGTCGTGAGCATGATCGAGGATGTTTTCTAGTCGCGCGTTCTCACATCCACACATTTAAATATACTAATGAATATACGTCATTTAATAGGTATTACGTAAATGTATATCCGGACGGATTTAACTTTTCCATTCTCATGAGCATGTACATACAAAATAGGGCAAAACTGAAAAGCACACTTCAAGATATAGGGTGGGTGACAGAAATATGCGGCTGTTTCAGGCTAACTTCAAGACAAACAATATATCAGTGGTGGAAAATGTCCAGGCAGCAGCCACCAATACCGCTGCCACAAGTGCCAGGAAATCAGTTTTAACAAAATATCTTCGCAGGAAATATTCTTACACTTAGCAGGAAATTTTTGTCATCTTATACTTATAGATACTGAAATGCCAATTGTTTCGATATTGATGACAATGTGCCGCACCATACATTCTCTGAAATCTACAAGCAGGAAGTTTTATAGTTGACACAGGAAATTTGTATTTTTGGATTCATGCTGCCAGGAATATAAAGTTTTAATAAAACAAATTAAATATATTGAAAAGCTGAGCCAAGGGTGTGGCAAGAGCTACAGGTATTTAAAGATGGCGTGACAAGTGCTCTTAAAAAGAAGATAAAATCTAATTCTTTTGGGAGGCACAGTTATATTGGACTGCAGTCGGCACTTATTCATCTCGCCATGAAAATCACGAAACACACAGAAAATAATCTGTTGCAAATACATAATCCGGTTAAACTGTAAAGCGGGTCGTGAAGGAATAACGGCTCGTACAGATGAAGAAGTTTTCTTTGACAAGTTTACCCTCTCGTGTGTACGGTCAACAAGGTTTCCTTGACACCTTTTGTTGCTTGTGTGCACGGAATGTTGTAAAACATTTATCTGGCGTCCAGGCTGCCTAAGTGTTTGCCAAAACCATACAAGTATTTAGGCATCAACTATTTCGCTGACCTCAGAATGACATTTCGTCAAAACGTTTTTCTTCAAGATTGGTTTGGAAACAAATTTGGAGTAGGGTTAGGTTAAGTTAGGGTTAGGATCAGGGTTAGAGTTGGTGTTTGGAGTAGGGTTAATGTTACTAAAACCGTTGCTTTGTTACGTTTTGTCACTCTGAGGCCAGCGAAATAATCTTTTCCAAGTATTTATTGTACACATGTCAAGTCATGATGCATGAGAGATAGCTATAGTCAAGTTTTTTTCTTGGCAAGTAACAGTAGTTTTAATTGACTGTTTTAAGTAGCTGTAACGAACTACAAACGTTTGTAGTCAACCCGCCGCCCATGGCTTTGGCAAATGATTCGTGAGTTGAATTCACACGAAAGTTTGCTTGAGAAAATGGGATTGAGACCGCCTCTTCCTTAACGAGCCTCTGTAAAAGGCCACTATGTCGAAACGTTCATGAGATGTTGGTGCAATGCCAATGGTAACACAATGGCTTCATCTCTGTCACTTGGGTTCATTCCTTCGGTATATGCATTGTTGATTTTTCAGCTCATGTGAAAAAACTGAATATACCATGGAGGGATTCAAGGATTCAAGGACCAAAGTTTCTGGGATTTTCCCAGCCAAACTTTGTATGAATGCCAGTCACCCGGCCCACAGCCAATCCCGTTTCTGGTGGTCCAAATCTCATCACTTTTCCCAATGAAAAAATATGCAAATCCTATACAGTTTGCATATTTTGAGGAAAGCACAGAACTTCAACACACATTTCTTAAGTACGAAAAATGCTTCTACAGCTGGCCTTTTCACGATATAGACGTTCTGCCCTTTCAAACGGACCGAACACTATTGGCGCAACACCATCCAACAATTAAAATGTTTCTTTTGTAAATATTTTAAAGAACTTGCAGATTTTCAATTTGGGTAAATCTTAATTATTATCTTAATTATTCTACCCACTTGATTTAAAAAATATGCAGTTAAATCAAATATTGCAACCTTGTTGCATGACGTTCAGCCAACATTGTTACTAACTTGTGTGCTTTTTGATCTAATCTTCTTTCATCTCTAGACCTGCTATTTTATTATATATGGAAAAACTATTAACAATGGGTCTTGCATGCGTAAAGGAGACAGACTCGTTTCCATGTCAATAAATGCAATTCACGAATCAAGCGTTTGTCTGCTGATCTACGTTTGGATAGGACTAAAATTTCATTTCCTCTATTTGAATATAAACAATCCACGCAACTGCATTGCAAGCTAGATTTACAAAGCTGTCACGATTTGACAGAATGACAGGCAGCTCATTTTAAATCAAACATCTCGTCGCCAAGAAAACTACACATGTTAAGAAACGAAACAAAATTCATTTCTTTAAGAATTTCACGGTAGAGCAAATGCCAAAGAGTTGGTTAAAAGTCAAGTATCACCTGAGTGAAATCACTTCCGTAATCTGTGTGAGATATGTTTAAAGATTGCCGTAAAGAGTTTTAATTAGTTCAGAGGCTGGGTTTGTCTCGAAAGGGTTTCTCACATAAAGAAGAGTATTTTCTGGACACAAATTCAACAAAGGCAAAGAAGTTGAGCTGCGAGGTCTTATATTAGCCAAAAGACTTTGATTAAAAGCCAAAGAGATAAATTCGTCCGTTCAACACAAGACTTATCAGTCGCAGAGCAGCTGAACAGAAACGCACGTACGAGAGTTAGGAAGCAAGCATGGAGTCACTAAACACCTCCACGACCGAATACTGTCAATTTCCTAAGATCATTGGCTACCCGGTGATTCTCATCAACATTATAGGAAGCTTACTTGGGACATTTGCAAATATGCTTGTATGGTTTGCTGTATTAAAGAACACTCAACTGCAAACGCTGTCAAATTATTTTCTCTTAAGTCTTAGCACGGCAGATCTGTTGGTTACTGCCGTCACACAACCGTTATTTATCGCTCACAATATATTCTCGATGCGAGGAGAATGTTTGAAAGTACTGGATAAAGCGTACAGTATGATCGCGTACTTCGCGTGCATGGCCTCGATACTGAACATAACGACAATCTCTATTGATAGACTCATAGTCCTCAAGTACCCATTGCAAAAGAGGACGATCTTGACGAAGCGTCGTGGTTTAGGGATTATGGCACTAACGTGGGTCCTAGCTGCTGCCTACGCGGTGTTGTCTTATGTTTTTGAAGAAACGAAAACATGGATATGCATAACATTCGTGTATTTTGCCGTATGCTATTTAATAATGATTTCCGCTCATACACATATGTACATTGTGAGTCATCGCTTCGTGCGTCGTCGTAAACAGCAGGTACGGCGTTATAGTTTCTCTGTGCTGGCTTACAGCAAGGAACGGCAGGCGGCAAAAACCATTGCAATTATCCTGGCAGTTTTAACACTAGCTTGGTTGCCCTATGGCTCTGGTCTCATAGTGTCAGCCGTAACTGGAATGCGACTGGAACAAAGTTGTGCTAACCCGTTATTAACTGCTGGTTTTTTGAACAGTTGTTTTAACACGGTGCTATACAGTTGGAGGAATAAGGAGATCAGGACAACTTTTAGACAGCTGTTGAAATGTCAAGATCCTAATCTCATGCGGAGGGAGAGTGTGTCATCGTTTTACATCCAGAGGTCTCGGATAAGTACCGCTTCCAGTGTGTTTAATGACTGCAATGGACAAATCTTTGATACAAAAGACCTCAACTTAAACGATAGCACAGACCAACGTAGTTCTGTAGTTTGTGCGCATTTCACAGTATAACTTGACTTCTAGTGTAGAAAATAAAGTGAATAATTTCACTATATATATAAAATAAATATACATAGGTTCAACCTATACAGCCTGAAACTTGCCACTGATTTACACACCAACCCGACTATTATAGAGTGCAGACATTATGAGATACAACTTAATATTCTGATTTGAAATAAGTAAGAGCCTTTTCACCCTGATCTGAAACATACTGTAGAGTACTGTATAGGTTCTTATACACGCGGGATTTTACTGTACTTAAACAGTTCTGGATGTTAGGTGACAGTTACGTAGAGCGAAGACTACAATTTACGGGCTTCAAACCTAGCTGGTTGTATCATAATCATGAAGCCTGTCCTTACACACGCAGAGTTTACAAAAAATCCATCTTTTATGTTAAATAAGTGAATATTTTCACTATGTCAATTAAGCAGCAGATGTTTTTTTTTTAATTGATTTTATCAAAACATGACAGGCAAAAGTCATATTTAATAAAACTTTGTGTTAATTAGTTTTAATCAATGATTTTATATAAAACTTAAACAATGTTCTTAATGAACTTTGAAAAATGTTTTAGCTCTTGTTTTCGTTTGAATTTCAATCTCAAATTGAATGTCGTATATGTACAATCAAAGCGCACAGCAAGAAGTCCTAATTCAAAATCAAAAAAATTTCCACAAAATGCCCAAATAAAGCTAACAAATGACTCTTAAAATCCGCTGAAAATGGGTTAGCGCTATACTATTCTATTCAGATACTATTCAGAGGGTTAGCGCTATACTATTCAACTCGGGTCGATGCATCAACTACATCACAACGAGGGGATTGGTCTGGAACACCCCCCCTCCATTTTTCCACATGACCAATTTTTCAGTTCTTCCAAATCTGATGAGAAACTGTTGGGCTTGGGAGACACTAACTGGCGAATGTCTCGAGAGCATTTATCAAAAGCTTTACAGTCCTTAGGGTGGACATTAGAAACGTGATGGGGGGGGGGGGGGGGGGGGGGGGGGGACTTTTTCAACATATACGAATATTTTTTTAACATTTTTTGCTTGTGTCGATAATTTTTTTTAAATATATATATCCCTTGCACGAATTTTTTTATTTCAACTCATAGATTTCCCTGTTGAAAACTCTCTGCACGAATTTTTTTTTCAAACTTTTTTGGTGCACGAATTTTTTCCTTCTTTCTGTTTCCCCACCGCGATTTTTATTTTTGCTTCGCCCCCCCCCCGCCTCCCATCACTTTTCTAATAGTCCGCCCCTTAGCTGAGGATCCCTTCGGTTGCCTTCCGCCCCCCCACCACCCACTCAGTTTCTGCTGGCCTTGTGTATTTGAGCCACATACTGAAGTCATACAAAAAGTGCAATAATCTGTCAAAGCGCGAAGGAGTAAAAGTAACGTGGGAGGTACAAATATGGGCTTTTTAGTATATTGAGTATATTGTACGAGTACAGTATAACTGAACAACAATGGTCTTTCACAGACGAACGTATATCACATTCATTAAATTGGAATTTTAAAAATTCAAATTGTACGAACTAAAAAATGTTTTCATGAGTCGAATCGTGTGAAAATCCCATTTGAGACAACTTTGAAAAGCTATAAGATGGGGGGCGTAGCGAACATTTTGATGTTTGGAGGGGGAGGTAAGGGTCAAATTACCTGACTTTTTAATTACGTTTTACGTTACCTAAAAGCAGTGTTTGAAATTTAATGTGGTTTTTCATAATATATATTAGCATAATGGATACGGAGCTAAATCTTCTATGGGCTTCGGGGAATATTCCCCCGAGAAATTATTTTGAATATTTAGACCCTCAGAAAAGCCGGAAAAACATTTACAAGTTGGCATTCTTGGCTTGTGGCACTTTTAACTTGCCTTTTTTAGTTGTGCATGCTGTTACACTTTACCTGAAAGTAAATCACCTCGAAATTTTATACCTAAACTTACTCAGTGGGAACACCACTACCTACACCCTGGGTCGCTACAGCCCTGGATGTAACTTACTCAGTGGAGTGTTACACTCAGGCCTCGAATTTCCCTGAAATCAGTCGACGGCAATGGCGTTAAAAATTGCCGTAGAACGTAACAGCTGTCTACGGCAATTTTGACAGTTTCCACAGCATTCAGTTCAAATTACTGTAATAAAACTTTAATTTTATTGTTACTTTGGATTTTTGACAAGCTAGAATAGACTAAAATAGTGATTTACGCATGATTTGATCAACATCTGAATTCAAGTATGAAAATAGTAATGCACAGTGAATAGTATAAAAATTGCACTATACGGCAAAAAATTGCCGTCGTTGCCGCAATGATCCATGGCATTTTGTTCTCCCTCTACGGCAATTGCCGCGATAAAATTTGAGCCCTGGTTACACTACCTACACCCTGCGTCGCTACAGCCCTGGATGTACACTTTTAGGAGAGGGCTAACATTGACATCTTTTTTTTAAATAATAATAATCTATTTTTAAACTTTTCTCTTTTCTCTTTACATAAACTCTTTGTTGAACGACGAGTCGTATCAAAAATCTTTCATAATTTCCGCAAACAGATTAAACACATATATACTGTAGTGATATATGTTGAATAGTTGAAAAAAAATAGGTTTAAACAAAATACACACGAGACACATAAATCAACAAAAACTTTAATTAAACAACAGTCTTTGCATGGCTTTTATAAAAACTTTGGGCCTTGTCAGGAAAGGTGTTTGATCGAACGCGCATGCACGTCCAACGCGCCCCTCAAAACATGGGTGCACGCGCTTTTTGTGAACAGCCTTTTTCATGATGGAGAAACTATTTTAAGGGGTAATACACCCATGGTTGTGAAAGAGGCTCCCTTTTGAAAGAGGCTTCCTTATGTGCCATTGCTGAAAACAAATAAATCTAAATGCAAATAATATATACGTAGTATCAATGCCATTCGAAAGTGCCTTATAACGGACGCTTTTTAACTCCTTAACCATGTTTAACTACAGTCGGTCCTAATTTCAAACAGTGACCCTCGCACTCTCGTCGAAAAACATTCGCCTTTGCGGACATAACTATTCGAAATATCGATCTCAGGGTGACTCGAAACTACAACTTAGGGCAAAAACAAAAAGATCTTTCAAAAATTAAAGTCCTTTATTCACGTGAAAGGTTTCTCGCGAAACGTTCGTGGCCTGTTTTCATGTAGCGTGTGGTAGGACAGTAGTCAGTTGCCTTTGTAGAGAAGTCAGTTTCTTCCACTACTTTCTCTCACCTCCCCCCTGGCCTCTCCGGTCTCTCGCCCCCCCGCCCGAGCACCACAACGCATGCTAGTTTTCATGCATACGACGTTTGTTTATGATGGCACCGTTTTTTTTTTAAAAACCCAAAACATACATCATTATTACCAGTATATGGCAGAAAAAAATCACTTTACTACATAACACTACAACACTTTACTGACATCCCAAAATAGAACCAGACATCTTGTTTACAAAACTACATTACAATATTAATAGACTATCAAATAATCCTACCATATACTGGCTTCACCCAATTTCATTCGTGACGTCATACATCACGTGTACCTGAAGTCTGTTACTGTAACAGTTCCCCAGAATGCACTTCTGTCGTGGTTGTGCTGTCTTTAGTGATGAGTTTAACCAAGCTGCCGCTTTCTGGTCGCTCTTTCCCTTCACTCCAATTGAAGAGCAAGCTATAGAAAGTAAAGTGTTGCTTTTCAACAAGTCTTCAATTGCTGACCATTTGTGGTTCATTCTAAATGGGCTGGTAGTCATTCTTCAATATCAGCCATCAAGTTCGCATAGTCGGGTTCTTCTCCGTATTAATGCCTGTTTTTTACCACAAGAATGCATTTACTATTTCAAAAACGTTTTACCTTGCGATATATTCAAGGGAAGTCCAACTAGTAAAGTCAGCATTAGGCATATTTTTACGATTTATAGAAGTATCCAGCGTCATGCTAAATAAGAAAAAGAACGTAAATATGCACCATTTGTACCAAAGCGACACATTGGCTGCATTTATTTTAGAGACGGATAATCAGTGTGGATAAACTTGACATGTAAAAAAGATATGTTTTCTGATAATTTGTCTGTGCATGAACACTGCAAACAGGTTGATCACTTGGCAAGATACGTCATGACAGCATTGGATGGCATGATTTGCTTCAACCGTTGCCAGTATAGATCACACTATTCTAGGTACACTGTACTCTAGTTTGTCTGGACTGTTTGCCTGGTGTTTACACTAAGATTCCGTCAAGTCAGACAGATGGTCCGCCTCTACAGTACTGTAATGTATGCTCATTTTTCAGTAACTTTATTAAAGAGACGTACGGCAAGATAGCGACAGCAATTGATCCAGCAGGCAAACCACTCTCTTTCTGCCCCAAGCCCTTGATTAGTTGATGAACAGCAGCTTTAGCCATGCCATAACCCAACATTCCTGAAACAAAACCATCATGATAGTTGCACATGCAATTCAGTTAGCTGAAGAAAACCCACGAAATGCAATGTTTATTTTACAAACAGCAAGGTTTATTGTGTACATTATATTGTGTACTGATAATCTACAGACACTTGGATCATTCAGTTCGTTAGTGACTGGCAGTCATCTTTAAAATATGACCTTAATTGGTTTGACAAAAAACAGGATCATGAATTTGTGCATGTGCTCTGTTGCATATTGCTGAGGCTTTGCAGCATTTTAATTACCTGAGGTTCCACCTAATGAAGGCTGAGCACCAGGCAATAATAACAAACCATTGCTATATAAAAACGAGAAATTTACATTATTATACACGTTATAAAACTACTATGGCACATACAACAGCATTTATTCATGTGCCAATTTTAACCCATTAAGTCACACTGTACCCTAATGCACCCTATTTTATTGTTTTACTCTGTATAGACAATTTTACTCATCAGAGGGAAAGCGGGGCCTTCAATGGGTTAAACTTAACATTTGCCTCACACCAAATCTGGCTGATCCGAGACTACTTACTCTTTCAAACATTTTGAGGCAATGCTTGCAGAAATAAGTGATGTCCATACACTCTGCTTGAACATCAAATCAGCATTCTTTACAACATCTAAAACAAGTCATTAAATATACAAAAGCATTCCTTTGTTATTAGGGGTGGAAAAAATAAATTATTCTATAAATTATTAACAGTTTTGTGAATTACTGAATTTTTAAGCACCAATTTTAACCCCATATTCTATCAAATTAATTAAACAGTATTTATTCAGTATATAACCAAGACTTCTGTTAAAATAATCTACAGGCTTAGTCCACTTTTCTATTTCATTTCTTTCATACTCTAGCTCTGTCACTTCTTTCATACTCTATTCTATTCAAACCAATAAATATAGTACTGATGGGCAAACATCAGGTTGACATAAGTTCAATGAATTAAAAATTAGCTGCAAGGAATTCTAACTTACTTTTGCTCCTAGCCGAGCCTCCAGCCCAGCCGCCAGCCACACAAATGATTGCATCAAGTTTTTCACCTCCAAGGAGCTCTTCAACTTTGGTTTGAACCTGAAAGTATAAAGCAGCCAGTGCACTCAATTTTAATTGTCTTCAGTCCTCTAGTCCTATAACGTCTAGTCCTATAACCTTTAGTCCTATAACCCCCAGTCCTATAACCTCTAGTCCTATACCATCTAGTCCTATAACCTCTAGTCCTATAACCTCTAGTCCTATAACCTCTAGTCCTATAACATCTAGTCCTATAACCTCTAGTCCTATAACCTCTAGTCCTATAACCTCTAGTCCTATAACCTCTAGTCCTATAACCTCTAGTCCTATAACCTCTAGTCCTATAACCTCTAGTCCTATAACATCTAGTCCTATAACCACTAGTCCTATAACCTCTAGTCCTATAACATCTAGTCCTATAACATCTAGTCCTATAACCTCTAGTCCTATAACATCTAGTCCTATAACCTCTAGTCCTATAACCTCTAGTCCTATAACCTCTAGTCCTATAACATCTAGTCCTATAACATCTAGTCCTATAACATCTAGTCCTATAACATCTAGTCCTATAACATCTAGTCCTATAACATCTAGTCCTATAACATCTAGTCCTATAACATCTAGTCCTATAACATCTAGTCCTATAACCTCTAGTCCTATAACATCTAGTCCTATAACATCTAGTCCTATAACATCTAGTCCTATAACATCTAGTCCTATAACATCTAGTCCTATAACCTCTAGTCCTATAACATCTAGTCCTATAACATCTAGTCCTATAACATCTAGTCCTATAACATCTAGTCCTATAACCGCTAGTCCTATAACCGCTAGTCCTATAACATCTAGTCCTATAACATCTAGTCCTATAACATCTAGTCCTATAACATCTAGTCCTATAACATCTAGTCCTATAACATCTAGTCCTATAACATCTAGTCCTATAACATCTAGTCCTATAACCGCTAGTCCTATAACCTCTAGTCCTATAACATCTAGTCCTATAACCGCTAGTCCTATAACATCTAGTCCTATAACATCTAGTCCTATAACATCTAGTCCTATAACATCTAGTCCTATAACATCTAGTCCTATAACCGCTAGTCCTATAACATCTAGTCCTATAACATCTAGTCCTATAACATCTAGTCCTATAACCTCTAGTCCTATAACATCTAGTCCTATAACCTCTAGTCCTATAACATCTAGTCCTATAACCTCTAGTCCTATAACATCTAGTCCTATAACATCTAGTCCTATAACATCTAGTCCTATAACTAACCTCTTCATTCTGTTCAACCCAGGAATCCAATTTTGTAACAATGAGATTAGCTTCCGCCTCCTCATTGGGAAATAAATCAACTGAAGCTACCCACTGTAAACAAACACAACTGAGAGTTAGCAAAATATATATGAGCCACTCATTTGCAGCTCATTTAGCATCCCTTGTATTTCAATATGCCATCAATACACCCTTCGGTAAAGTACACCACATTGGCAATAGAGCCTTGTTTTCGTGATTGAGATGTGGGCTACTGATGTTAGATATACAAAAACAAGCCCTACATACTTTCTGGGTGTATTGGGTCGTTCCAGAAAAGATCCATACCCCCCCCCCCCCACGGAGGAAATTTTTGCTGTCCGAAGGGGGAGGAGAGGAAAAATGTCTTAGGATGTCCGAAGGGGGGGAGAGGAATGTGGATATGTTTGTCTGAAGGTTTGAGACTGTGATAAAGCTATGTGATCGGCGATTATAATGAGCACGCAATTTTTATCAGCTATATGTAGCTCTTGAACACCGGAACGTTTATGTAACAGCAATAATTATACGTCCACGTAACTCGTAAGCAAAATAAGCGGCCCACTTTTGCATGCATGGCCACCAAAAACTAACTCGCTGTAACAGCGTATCCTGCATGTTGAGAATGAGTCAAAAATTGACACGCTTTATTTATATAGTTTGCAGTTTTCGTTCGTATATATATAAGTTTGAATTATTCAAGTGTTAAAAATAATAGTTATTAAACTGTTGCTCGAGTTAAGAGACTGCTATGTGAACTGAACTCAAAACAGTTTGTTTTAGTATATAGTCAATAAAGAGCTTCCTTGCGAGGTGTGTATCTAGAAAATAGAAATGGCTTTCATATTAATTAAGGGCGAGGTTAAGGAATGCAGTAATACTACAAAATGTATTAACATGTAAGTAAACATAGCAACGCTTGTCAATCAGTCGCAAGTTACATCGAATTTCAGTCCGAATTTTACTTGAACGAATTTCGAAGTGAATTTCTGCAAATTATCCGACAAAACCTGCCACGTGTTTGTGTTCGCAAGTCACAAGAAGCCGCCAAGTGTTCCGCCACGCCAGAGCTATTTGAGAACAGTGTAGAAAAGTCACAATAAGCCATCGCTAATTCACTCTACGCTGGAGCAAATCGTTTGAAAACTTTCACGTCACTTTTGCCGTAACAATTTGAGCACGGTTTCTAAACGGAGCGAGGTGAAAACGGCGGAGCGCTTGATAGCTTCGTGTGAACACAAACGTGTAAACTTGAATGCTTTTCAGTTAAATTTCTTGGGTCTATTTGAAATATTTTGGGTTTACACGAGTGCTAATTCAATTTGTAAACAAACTGTAATGGCGGTAGTATGAACACACGTAAATCCTGCCCGCATTAGTTCGCTCGCGCGTAGTGTGAACGTAGTCTAATTTTCGGTGACGTTTTCAAACAGCGAGGTAGCCTTTAGAAAAAATTAGAAATAGTAGATGTCCGAAGGGGAGGGGGGTAATTTTGGGCTTGGATGTCCGGAGAGGGAGGGAGGATGAACCATTCAAGGATGTCCGAAGGGGGGGAGGGGGTTATTTTAGATTTCCTCCGTAGGGGGGGTATGGATCTTTTCTGGAATGACCCATTATGACATTTCCAAGCCAACAGTGCAGTTTATATTTGACAGTTAGATTGTATGATTATAGTACATGATTTACATGGCAGTCGACACCCATATTTTGACGTTGCAATCACCAGAAAACAGGCGTTGATGAGATAGAAAAAAGCTGGTGCACAAAACCTGTTATTTATGATCCCCAGTTCACACCCACACACCCTATCCCTCCCTCCAAAGCAATCAAATATGTTGAAGAAATTAATATTCAGGATTTCAGGGTCCCTACTCTCTAGGGAAAAAGGCATATTTTGGAATGGGAACATGGGAACAAAGGCAAAAAACCACGGGAAACAAGAAAACATGTAAGCCTGGCAAACAAGGGAACATGGTGAAATCTTTGTGGGAACGAATGGAAAATTTCCAAGAAGAAAACGAATGGAAAATTTCCAAGAAGAGAACGAAGGGAAAATTTCCAAAGGAAAACAGACCCCCCCCCCCCCCCTGGGAGACTCTCGATATTGAAATGCAGTTTTGGAAATTCACTTCGGAAAAATATTTAACGAAATAAATCAATTTTATAAAACAAAATGCAAAATCGGACAATATACACAGTGTCATATTATTTATTAAAAAGAGGTACTTCACAAAATCATGTGCACCATGCAGGTAGTATGCATCGACTTTTCAGCCTACTTCGTATGTGATCACTTTGCAAAACAGTTACGAATAATCTCGTACAACTTACCCAATTTTTTGCTTTAAAATAAGATATGCAAGTCGAGCCCAACGCACCTTTTCCGCCATAAATTAACACACGTGGAAGCGAAGCCATTTTAAAACACAAATTTTATCCGAAGGAAAATACGCGCCCTTGAGCACAAAATCTAAATACTTCATGATAGAAATAACATTATGTTCCTCCACTCAAAAATTTCCCGCCAAAAATATTCAAAATGGCGGACGACAGGAGCGGTGATTTTTAGTTTTGTAAATTATTTGTAATTTCTTTCCAAAAATGTAAGCAAAGCATTTGTATCTGAGCTAAATGTTAGCGATGAACTTTAACGAAAACAACGGAAAGCTCTTGAACGTTTGGCAGACATTTCAATTCAAATTTGACGACACTGAAAAGTCGGTTTTGGAACGAGCAGATGCCGGCCGTAGTTTGATGTTTCAAGTGGAGAAGCTCTTTGACAGGTAACTTTACAAAGCCCTGTAGCTTTGAGATTTATAGTTTAACTTTTGCGTTATTATTCAACGATATTTATTAAATATATTAATAATATTACTATATTGTATAAGTGGTAATTTAAACCAGCAGCAATACGTGGCTATGGTGAATTATTACGAAAATCTGTACTCTGACATTGTTGATGAACAAGATGAAGCAAAAGGTAAGGTTTTAATTACCTAAGGATTTAATTATTATTTTTGATGTTATGGTAACTCTTCATTGACATGTTGTTTTAATTAATTGGTTTAATATAGGTCTCAATAACTTTGCTGAACAGTCAATTGCTTTGACAACTGGATTCAGAAATGGTAGGTTTCTTCTTGGTCCTGGATTGTTTTGAGAAAGACACAACTTTTTCTAGAAATTGAAGATTCATACCAGACAAAATGCAACAGTGCAGTTCCCTGAGCATGCGCAAAACAAGTGCACCACGTAACCAATTGTATTAAAACCCATACAGTATAGCTCTTTTTTTTCAAATGGTTTTTAGACAGCAAAAATTGGAAATCAAGTCTCACATTTGAGTCACTAGATGACTTCAATATCTCAAACGTACCCGCAAAAGATTACAAAATTTCTGAAAAAATGGTAAGTTGAAACCAGAGTTTCTTCTGTCATAATTTCTAAAGTGAAATCATTATAAATGTTTAGTATCTCTAAACTTGGCCTCAGGCGTTCAGTGTCGACTGCGGTTTTCGTATATCTATATCAGAAACCTAGACACTATATTGTACCTGTCAACGTGAATTTTTTAAAGATTAAAATGCATTACGTTTCCGTTACGTCGCTTTGTCCGCGTTGGACTAGGAACAAGTTTGAACATGCGTGTCTTGTGTCACAGGCACTTTTCAGTCCACTTTAATGCTCGTGGCGTGCACGCGAGGGCTGAAGTGGCGTGAAAACTGTCAAGCTAAATAGATACAGCGCATGTTCAAAAATGTTATCTCATTCCGCGCGGGCAATGCGACCGTAATGGATCTTGAGAACATTCGGACGTTTCCGAACGAAGCCCTTCATCAGGAAAGTACAGATACATGGAAGCACGCTGCTTTTACAGCAATTTTACAGTTTCTAGTGCGGAGTACGAACATACAGAGGTGAACAAAATAACGGTTTTATACTTTGTGTTTTTTTAACAAACCTCCACAGACACACAAAACAGTGACGCAAGCCAATTCTACACCATATTCTGTACCTACAGTCGCACCAGATATAAATAATGCAAGACCAGAGAAAACAAGAGAAAAATATTCCATCAACCATCAACCCTTCACTTCCTCAAGAAAACAAGCGCCTGGGTTTAAACCATTGTTTGGTAACCCAAATAAGACGGACGATATCATGTTTGGTTCATTTGGCAAAAGCGATGGTTTAAAAAGCACAAGCTCTGTTGAATCAAATTGCAAGCAAAGGGTTAGTTTTAGTCTATGTTAGTCTTCATTCGCGTGTGTCTATACATTGACCTCTCTCCTGGGCTTTCACTTCGCTTCAACTCTTTTCTCCTCTGTCCACATCCTTCACTACTCTCCTTTTCCCAAGTGATAACTGACCACCCCTCCTTCGCCTCCCACCCATTCCTCACAATTTTGGCCACTCTTTCTAGAGACATTCTAAGATGTGGTCGAATCGAGTAAGACTTGTTTGTCAAAAATCCTTGGTCTGCTCGTTTCCTCAACTCTTCATTTACAGTATGTGTTCAACGTAAGAAATTTGAAATTTGTTCTTATTAGCAACATTTTTCTTAGCAACAGGTTAACAGATCAAAAGATAAAGTTCCAGCAAATCAGGTAGGTACTGTTTAAGATTCACCACCTTGTATGGTATTTGTACCAACCACACCAATATACTGTTACACTCCACCATACATTTAGATTGAAAACGAAGATACCAGGGATGCATATGATTCTGGATTTGTGACGGCGAAACAACAATATGTAAGTATTCATTCAAGAACGAAATTAAGAAATTATGCTAGGTTGTAGAATCCCAGAATCAAACTTGTTGTGTAATGGCCTGACCACAGTTAAAAGAGAGCGAGATGGACTCAGTGACTATGGCCTGGTCTAATCGATGATTGATTCAAAAAACAAAATTTTAGATTATGAATGAACGAAAAAAGAAAGGTCGGAGCGCAGACAGTGGTCCAAGCGTGGGAAACTATGGCGCTACCAAGAAGTCATTGGGCTACAGGTTTGATAAAGTTTCATGTTCTTTTAAACGTTGTAAAAATTGGATCTGACCATATCGTTTAAATATCGTTGTTATAGAAGAGGACCATCGAGCAGGTTTATCCCGCCTGTGAGAAACTATGATGATGACGAAGGTGGTGAAAGGTATTAGAGACCTTATTAAAGTATCATTGGCATCGCACTCTTCTCTATAGGCTGTTGACAAGGGATCTCCCGAGAACACGGCCTGTGTTTTCCTTCCAACAGATCTCTTCTTCGGGTTAGTGCCTTGTCGTAGCGGCAGATACCGTGCGAGCTATGCTGGCGCGGCGCCAAGCTGCTGATGTAGGGCCACCTAAACCAGACAAATTAAAGAATGGAGGCCTGACAAAGTGTAGCGCAAGAAAACGTTGTTCAAATGGGGAACCAGGAGCGGTGACACATTACAAAATCACAACCGCTGTCACCAGTAACAACTCTGGTTTTCTTTTATTACATTAATATAGTTACCAATCAAGAAGAGACAACAAAAGGCCGGTCATGTCAAGACCCAAACACAACTCATCTGCCGAAGATGATATCACTGATGAAAGATTAAAAGGAATTGACCCTAAAATGGTTGAACTGATAAATAACGAAGTATGGCAACTTTTTTACTATAAAAATAGCTGCACAGCGAGATCTCGCTTACCGAACTGTCTCGCTAAGCGGGCCAGCCCGGCTTCCATATAAACAGCCCCTTAGTACTTCAACCACGATGAAGTGTTTTGGTAAGCCGTTGTAACAACTAACTTTTGACGTACATATAGATAATGGATCATGGGCCGCCCGTGAACTGGGACGATATTGCTGGACTGGAGTTCGCGAAAACTGTTATCAAAGAGATTGTTGTTTGGCCCATGTTGAGACCGTACGTATTCAATTAGCCTAAGAAGGTTGAAGTAACGTGATTTGAAGACAAATATTAGCTGCATAAGAGTAACAAGGCTTATTATTAACTGCATGTACCCGTGCTTCTCCTTGTGGAAGAAGAGTTAATGTGATTTCAATTAATTTCTAATCCGAAGTTAAGGAAATATATCTGAGAATTGTACATTATGGGGGCGACATAGTGAGTTCAAGAAATGTGGACACTTTAAAGACAACCAGATACAGGTCTATACCTATAATGGGAGAATATTTTTCTCACTCTGGTAATCGCCAGGTGATCACCATCTGATAGTGCTCAGGCAAACATGACTCGATGGTGTTGTCTTTTTTATTTCGTATTTCTTTCTAGAAATTATCCACCTAAGGGATCATCATTTTCGAACTCCCATAGTGCTTACTGAAAGCTAATCGTCTTATTCTTTCAATATCTTCTATCTAGGGATATATTTAAAGGTCTACGTGGTCCACCCAAGGGATTGCTTTTGTTTGGTCCTCCTGGTACTGGGAAAACACTCATAGGTAAGATTGAACTGAATCCAGGAAATCCCATAAATCAGAAATGGCTTCAAAATTATCTTTTTATTTTAGGTAAATGTATAGCCAGCCAATCAAAAGCGACATTCTTCAGTATCAGTGCATCCTCTCTGACTTCAAAATGGGCAAGTATCTTTATCTACGGAAGAAACGCGCAAGGCCCGAACCAGTGGCCCGAACGCGTTCCCAGGCTCCCACCTCTTGTGGAGGAAAGACTCTGGCAGGAGCTGGTCACGTGATCTGGTAAAATCTAGCAGATTTCTAATTAACTATCTTGGATTCCTTTAAAATCAAATCAGACTTGCAAAACAAAATGCAAGTTATAAATTAAAGTATAAATATCAAATATTTATCATCATCATCAATGAAAAATCAGCTAGATTTTAACAGATCACGTGACCAGCTCCTACAGGGTCTTTCCTCCGCAAGGAACGAGGTGATTGAACCTTCATGATATGATAGCATCTATTCATAGTTAAAGGTATCACACTCCATCAATTTCTCATATCATACATAGGTAGGTGAAGGTGAGAAGATGGTTCGAGCACTGTTTGCAGTCGCCAGATGTCATCAACCTGCTGTCATATTTATTGATGAAATTGACTCTCTCTTGTCCCAGAGATCTGACGGTGAACACGAGTCATCTCGGAGGATTAAAACCGAATTTCTTATACAACTTGTAAGTAGATTTGTTAGACAACTATGGCCGTTTTTCCACTGAATTTTTCCTGAGTATATTTTCTTTCTTATAACTTTTGGTCAGTAGTATGTAAACGGCCATGGAAACCTGCAAGGCACTTGTCAAGGATGTGCATTTTTATACCTTTCTTTTTTCATTCTAGGATGGTGCAACGTCCGGATCTGAAGATAGATTGCTAGTAGTCGGAGCAACAAACAGGTCGGTATATTCTTAAAACTCTCGTCAAGTTTTAGCTGGTTCAATATCCAGTCAACTCTTTTGACTGGGACAAGAGTTGAAGTATTTCTCTGTATCGTTTGATCAGGGCTTCACAGGCTAAAGAAAGCGCAATTCCTCACGGATTAGCTTAACATAAGGAGTGACTGACTGAGACTGATTAAAATGATTCAAACACCAGCTACAGTACGTAACAAAGTAAATACAAAGATTTATTGCAAAAACTTCAAACTTATTCATTTTCTGACAGACCGCAAGAAATTGATGAAGCTGCAAGACGCCGCATGGTCAAACGACTCTATATTCCCCTACCTGAAGGAGAAGCACGAAAACAGATTATTCGTAACTTATTGAAGGATCAACATTACTCCTTATCTGAAGAAGACTTTGAACAACTGATGCAGAGATCAGAAGGTCTTAAAACAATCAACTTCTTTTGAACTGAATGAAAAACAATTTTTTAAACAAATTCCTTTGTTGCAGGATATTCTGGTTCGGATATGAGTAATTTATGTCGCGAAGCTGCCTTGGGACCAATCCGGTCAATTTCTGGCAATATTCAAGCGATTACGCCAGACCAGGTACTGTAAGATTGCTTTATTACAACTTTATTACATTACATTCATTCGGCAGTCTAACATCTAGTTCGTTTCTAGGTTAGACCGATCGTGTTCACAGATTTTGAAAAAGCATTTCGACAAGTCCGTGCAAGTGTGTCCACGCAAGATTTGGACCTCTACGTTTCATGGAACAAGAAATTTGGAAGTGGACATTAAAATATTGCACAATGAAGAGATCAAGATATAAAGACATTTACTTAGTCTGATAAAGATTGTAAAAATGTCGAGCTATGACTTTCTGATAAGTTTTGTTTTTGCATAAGTTTGGGTAAACACTAATTTTTGTACCTAAACCCAGAAACTTTACAGCAAAAGAAAGAAGCATGTAAATATGTTCAATGAATAAAATATTTTAAATTAACTTTGTTCGTTAGTTTTTTATTGGTTTTAAAGACTGCTATAATTTAAAATCTATGATATTTACTACTATAATACTCAGATGTACATGTGCAAACATACAAGCATTGTACATACTACTATTGGATTTATTTCAAAATACCAAGCGAATAAACCATAAAACCAACAAAAAATTAGGTGACCACACGCTTAAAGCATCAAACAACAAGGCACTTAAAGAGCTTTTCATTGCTTTGGCTTTGCAGTAAAGCCTGGTTTCTCTCTCAGCAGTCATGACTAAATCATTTTGATTGAGTGTTTAGCAGCTTGTCTTAATTGGGGGCACGGTAGCTACGTAGCTTTTTTGCTTCGTAGTTTGTTCTTTAGTAATCGCCAATTGAAGGCTTAATTAATCTAGAAATACAATGACACTGTATAGCATCAGCTATCTTAACACGCCACCACAACAAAACTAAAACCATGATTAATTAAGGGATACTAACATCACTTAGCAAACAAATAACTTTTGTCCGACCAACATCACAGAAAAACTGTTAACAATGACTGAAATTAATAAAAACATGCTAATACCCATCCGAGATAATTCTAATAAAATAATCAGTTTTAATTCTGCTACTATACAAGTTTCTTGGCTTCAAAGAAACCTTTCAGATGCCTCATTTGCCAGAATCCAGTTAATAATAAGATCAGAGTTTGACCCAGTGACCACCAAAGAACACGTTGGTTTGTGCTCTCACTTGTAGCTCGGAATCTTTCTTCACGATACTGAAGTGAAATGAAGAATAATCAACCCAACACTATATTTGTTTCATACTTTAATATGATTGAAGAGGTTTTTAATTAAAGCGTCACTTACTCTTTGATAAGCTTGTTCTTTACCAATCTGCTCAACTTGATCCAACAACTGTCTGATTCTCAATTGAAGTTCAGTCAACTTATCCTTGGCAGCAATTTCTGTATAATCATTTGTATGCTCACCAACCTGGATGTCTAAGTGTACCCGCTGGAATACAAATGTAACATCATCAGACTTGTGTGTACAGAATTTGGCTGGTTGTATGCATTTTTTATCTATTTTATAAAAGACATCTCTCCTTACTATTACCACATTCAAATTCATGGAACTATACTATTAGCATTTGATAAATTAGACATGATTTCTTATTCTATTATCTATCAAAAACCAAAGTTTTATCCACTCACCAACTTGCCCCCAGCAAACAATGACCATCTTGTCGAGTTTGAATGAAGACAAATGCTATGTTCTCCTGGTGCGTGTGATGTGAAAGTGAACCTTCCCTCGGCAGAGAAATATCTAGACATGATGACTTTGTCGTTGGGATCTCTCACTTCAACATGCATTCCAATGCCAGGACTGGACGGCAGGAAGTCGTTAATGTTTTCATCATAGAGTTGGGTTTTATATTTTCCTAAAACAGATCAGTTCATGGCTCAAATTGAGAGGACTCGCAAATTTCCTTTGTGAAAATTTGACAGTAATAATTTCAATTTGAAAAGTGGAACCCTGGCATTGGCTAGGAAAATGGCAACAGCTTTGCAAAGTTAGCCAAAATCATAGCCACTGACAGTAAGTCAGATTTCTGAAAGTGTTTACTCTGTGGTAACATCTTTTGATTTTTTATGCACCTAGTTACTACCCCCCCCCTTATCCACCCTAGCTACCACACCCCCCTGCCACCAGAATAAAAGTCTGCAAATGACTGCAATCTTTGAATCTCAGAATTTCAAGCAAGCATTATAAATAAGAACACACACATCTCACATAGGAAAACGTCCCTTACTCATATTAACAAATCCTGTTTGTTACACATACGTACAGTTACACGTTGCCTCTAATATAACAATTGTAGTAGCTGTACCAGACAAAGTACAACTGTTATACAACTTTCTTGCAACAAAAAGACGTAGCCTAACTAACCTGTAACCATTGTTTCATCTGGGATTTCTTCAATAAAACATTTCTTTTCTGTCTCACCCATATGAAAGTATAGGGAGAGACCTGATCTCGCAAAAATAATACACAAAAAGGCCACAAAACCTAACCAACTCACCGCCATGTTGACAGAGGAACGAACAAAGCTGGACAAGTGTGAGCATGCGTAAATGGTTCGCTGGTAAAATGCCACGTTGTTATACTCTCGGGTTGCAATCGGAATAGAATCGTTATTAGCCGGCAACTGGTAAAATTTGCGGAAAATAATTGTATTTCAATGTTACAGAATTTTTTATCCAAATAAGATAAAAATGTTTCATAATATAATATTAACCTGGAGAAACCATTATTTGAGCGTTTAATTTTTCTTTTTTAGCAGCAGGATGAATTACTCGACGTATTATTGTCGGAAAGTGTCGTGCTTGGCCGAGTAACCAGGCCAAAAATCCAATATGGTGGACGAAGTGGTTCTTTCGTGAAATGATAGTTTATATATGGTTTATATGACTTTTACCGAATGTAACTTCATTAAGAACTTGGGATAGCGTGCAGAAAACCTTATAAAGTTCTGAAAGTTAAAATAGAGGGAATACATTATGTTTTACGGTGTATTTATGGGGCGGACTTGCTGTAGGTTTTCGACTTCAAGGTTTGAAATATTGCGTCATTTTTCAGGATTAAGTGTGCAGCAAAGCAGGAATAGGGTACATGGTTCGTCGAAACATTTATGTTTATCAAGAGTTGTTTCTCGAAGAACTTACAGCACACAAGGAGATAAAGTTTTAAACGCAGAACAAACTAAGCATTTGGAAATACATGCAGGAGATCTTCCCAAATTAACGAACGAAAACACTAATAATGATTTTGATAGTAATATACCAGAGTTATTCGAAGGAGATGATGATACGTCTGACCCTTGCGCAGGACTTGATTTCAATGATACGACAAACGAAAATGTTGATGTGTCAAAAAATACGAATGAGTTTGCGGGAGAAAGTATAGAAGATGAACGGTTTCCAATACCATCAGAGCCGCTTGATAAAGGTTGAGACCTTTTGCTTTATATATATTGTAATGCATTCATCAGATAAAGTACAAGAAAAGCTGCCGACTACCTTGCTTATATGCCTATTAAATTAACAACTTATAACTTTTTAAGTAATAAGTATTAATTATTATATTGATACACTGTTTGGAATAGTTCTGGTGTTTTCGTGTGTAAGGAAAACGGACGGAGTATTCTATAATCGCTCCACACCATGCATTAAACAAACTTCGAAAGATTCCCCAAAACTTTTCACTAAGGTTTTCTAAACTTTGCTCTCGTTATTCCGAAGCAAAGAACTTTCTAAGATCATGAATTTCGAACTATGCTGCAAAAACAGAAATTTTCACGTCAAAATTTTGTATATATAGCAGCCTGTTGCCTTTATATCATAAACGGCTTCTTCGAAATAATTCGAAATGAAAGCAGCTAAATGAATTTCAAGCTTCACCAAGTTCGAAATTCGCAAAGAAATTTGTGAGTTCGTGGGCTGTGGCCAATTTCAGAAATAACAAATAAAGTTGTAAAATCCTCTGTAGGAGTTTGTAATACTTATTTAACTAAACTTCTTTAACCACTAATTTCTTTGTTGGAAATTCTAGCGAAGATTTACTCCTGCCTTAAAGCGTTTTTCAGTCATCGTCAAGTTGAAGCAGAGGCAAAAGAACATGGCTTAGATAGTAAGAAATTACGACGTGACATTTTAATATCAATTCTCTTTTTTCTGCGCTAAAAACCTGTCTTTCTTATAGGAAATTTATTTGTAGAGACGTTTAAGAGTTTTAGAAGAAATATTTTCAAAGAAGCGAAAGTCGATACAGATCTTTATAACATACTTTATGAATTACAAAATGGCATAGGTAATATTGTGTCAGAGTTACTGATAAACTTGTTACCTTGTATTATGAATTTTCCCCCGGCCTTTATTTTTCGAACCTATAGCGTATACACACGAAGTTTTTACAACGCCGCAATCACACTGTCTTCCTAAATTTAGGCCATGTAGACGACTTGCTACCGTACTTTCTCAGCTATGCTAAACGATTGTATCCAGTGTTAGATTGCCTGGAAGAGTTAAAAGAAATTAGCGATTTCAGAGGACCATCTGATCTGTAAGTACAGTATAATAGAGGGTAGAGTGACATGTGATACGAGTCATTCCTTTGACTCTAGCTGTCTAGCAAGTCAGGGAACAGTACAGATAGATCTCATCAGTCTAGATAAAGTTAGTTTGGTTCACGTTTCCTCATGTTGTGGCACTGGATTATAACGAGATGCCCCTTACTGGATCTCTACGTAAAACAGTTTAGCATTATGATAGGGCTATAAGGTTGGTTTTTCCCTACCAACGAATGCGCAGTTAATTTTCAAACTACTGTTTAAGCAGACGTCACTTATACTTTAACATAACATCTTATTAAAAAGCGAAAGTAGTAAATTGCATGTTTCTATGCCTAGATTCCCTGAAGCTCGCGCGATGAAAAGAAAGTTCATCTTCCACGCAGGTCCTACGAACAGCGGTAAAACACACAAGGCATTGGAAAGATTCCAGAATTCAAAATCCGGTATCTATTGTGGACCTCTCCGACTGTTGGCGTCTGAAGTCTACCAGAAAACTAACGATAATGTAAGAATTGTGATGTGATCAGAAGAATTTTTGTTCCTATACACGTATAATAATATATATAATTGTGGTATTCAAGGGCATTCCATGTGATCTGATAACCGGAGAAGAAAGGCGATGGGCAGTATCAGAAAAGGAACCTTCAAATCACCTGGCTTGCACTGTGGAAGTGTGCTCTGCCACACGTGAATGTAACCATCTCAAAGTTGTTTTATGATTATCTTCTAAAATATTATTTGTACAGATGAAGAAGATTCAATCTTACGGATCGAAAACCGGTCTGAAGCTGTGCTGTGCAAAATATATAGTCGTGGTGCTTTACACAAAAACGACCATGCATATATTTGTGGCCATGCATGCAAACCTGCGAATATCTTATTTCTGCGCTTGTTTTTCAGATGATTGTGCTGTTATTGATGAGATACAAATGATAGCCGAGTCTGAGAGAGGGTTTGCGTGGACTAAAGCCTTACTTGGTAATATGTATAAAAATGAAAACATTTATACGACGAGTTTGGAGTGATCTCTTTTGGATGAAAGAATGTTGATGGTTTAGCAACCGATACGAGGAAGACGATGGTGGAAAGACGAGATCTTTCAATAGACCTTTCCCCCTATCAGTGAAATTTTGATCTAGATATGCCTGGACAAAAATTTCATCCCAGCTTGAAAGAGCATCACAAAATTAGTAATATTCCAAAGTTTCGTTGCGAAATGTTGTAAAATGCGGATAATATAGCCTTGCGAAGTTCGCCGTTTTTCAGTCATTTTGCATTACAAACGGGAAATTGATAATCAGATGATCAAACTGATTATCAATTTCCCATTTGTAATACAAAATGACTGAAAAACGGCAAATTCGCAAGGCTATATTATCCGCATTTTACAACATTTCGCAACGAAACTTCGGAATATTACTAATTCTGTGATGCTCTTCCAAGCTGTGATGAACTTTTTGTCCAGACTTGTCTAGATCAAAATTTCACTCAAAAGGGGAAAGGTCTAAATTCTATTTACCACCAAGTACTACTACATATTATGAAAAGGATTAACATCGTTTTCCCACTCTGATAACTACCGATTGATCACCGCTGCTAGAAAATAGTTCTTTAGTGAAACCCACTTATAAATACGAACAAATCTCGGCACTGAGAATTTCATATTTGATTATTCAGGTTTGCTATCACCTGAAATACACTTATGTGGCGAGCCGACTGCAATAGATCTTATCAAGAGGTTGGTCGATTCTTGTGGAGATGATTTCGAGGTGAAATTTAGGCACTAGAATTGCCATTTTTAATTTTTACTTTTCTTTGGGAAAGGTGAATTAAACTTGCCTCTCGTAGGATTTGAAGATACGATTCCTCACATTCAATACTATAACTATAGTAGTATTGCTATCACAACTATTAACTACGTGTTTATGCCTGGTTTGTGCGTAGGTTGTATATCATGAACGTCTGACTCCGCTAGAAATAGAAAGTACAAGTTTAGGTCAGTATTTTCTCTAATTCTCTTGACCTTTAACATTAGTGTTTGTTGGTTGATATGTTTAATAATAGTTTCTTAAAGCTGGAAAGCTAGTATACATAAACTCTAGTCTGTCGTAGTACGAGTCCATTATTTCTTTGCGCTGCTAATAGTGTACAAACTTTTCAGATAGTGATTTTTCAAAGATTGAACGTGGGGACTGCATTATCGCTTTTTCTCAAAGAGAGTTGTACAGGATAAGAAAGATTGTAGAATCCGCTTCAAAGTGGAAATGTGCTATTGTTTATGGTGGATTACCGCCAGGTATATAATGCAATTAATGTAATGTAGTTTAATCTCGTTGTAACGCCAATGTAATATAGTGTAATGTCAATTGAATGTAATGTAATGTGGATGTGCCAGTGCAGTGTGGTGTGGTGTAAATGTAATTTTGTTGGTATTACTTTTTTCATTAGCAACAAAAGTTGACCAAGCGAGGCGGTTCAATGATCCGAACGACAACTGTAAAGTTCTTATTGCATCCGATGCTGTTGGAATGGGATTAAATCTGTAAGTAGAGTTGTCGATGTCCTAAGGCGGCTTTAAATGGAATCATTTGCTGTGTTACACGCCATTCTTAGAGATAAACTTCACGAGCAGCGTTCGAAACGCACGTTGAGGGGTAGTCTGACTTAGGTATTTGAGAACCTTTTGGACCACAGGTAAGAAACCTTACTCTTGCCAGACTGTGGACTCTGCTTCGGGGTGATTTCCCAGAACACTGCGACGGAGAGGGGGTTGATTCCCTAGAACATTGCCGTATTCCTTCAGTGATGATCGCGTCCCATAATCAGCACCCCGTCCACCACCAGATTAAGTTGGATTCTTTCAAAAGTACATAATCTTTTCCTCTACACAGAAACATCCGAAGAATAGTTTTCAGTTCGATGGAGAAGTACGATGGTACACAGATGTCGACATTGTCTTCTTCTCAAGTTAAACAGATCGCAGGTCGAGCAGGAAGATTTGGCACGGAATATCATTCTGGTTTGGTTACAACGTGAGTCAAAAGCAATCTACAGTATACTGTAATGGGTTTAAACACGCTGTCGGTTGAGCGCAGGCCCGTCTAGCCACCTTCAAACATTAATACTCTGCCTTGATTTGTAAATAAGATGCAAATCTTTAATGCATCCATTACTCCATAGTTTTAAGGCCGGACTATCCAGAATAAATATTTACTCTAAAATTCTGAACAGCCTTCACGAAGAAGACTTGGCAACATTGCGTGACCTGATGAGTCAAGGAAGTGAAAATATAAAGGTAATTTCCATGAGTCAAGGAAGTGAAAATATAAAGGTAATTTCCATGAGTCAAGGAAGTGAAAATATAAAGGTAATTTCCATGAGTCAAGGAAGTGAAAATATAAAGGTAATTTCCATGAGTCAAGGAAGTGAAAATATAAAGGTAATTTCCATGAGTCAAGGAAGTGAATATATAAAGGTAATTTCCCAAGTGATGCATGAAGAATATGTCGATGTATTGGAAGAAATAAAGAACTGTGTGATAATCATTGATTTATTGTTCTATTGCATCGCTATTTGTTGTTTTATATTTTCTTTGCTAGGAAGCAGGCATTGCTCCTACATCTGAGCAAGTAGAAATGTTTTCATATCAACTTCCGAAAGCTTCTTTGAAAAAGATACTTGTAAGTTAAAACAGATTTCTAAGCTAAAACTGAAATATTTCAATCCAATATTCAAGCATCTTAATAATAATTCATACTTACGTTTCTGTCTGCTGTTTCAGGAAACTTTCTGTGGTTTGTCGCAATTGAGCGGCAACTATTTTATCTGCAGTTTGGGAAAGAAAAAAGTAGGTTTTAGTTAAGTCATAATTAGAAAGTTTAACAGTTGGCGACTGCACCCCACGGTATGACATTAATGTCCGCCTTGGCTTAAAACAATTGATTTTGTACTTTAGGTCACAGCAGAGTTAATTGAGAATATTCCATTGGCTATCCGTGATCGTTACACATTGTTAATGTCACCAGCGGACTGTCGACTGCCGTTTACCAGAGTTATGTTAGTTCGGGTAGGTATCATCTGTTCACTATCCTCGGAGTCAAAACAAGAATAAGTTTGTGATATTTAGATTTTATTCCAAAATCATCATCACACTAACGTTTTAATTCTCGGCTGGTATTGGGTTTTATTTAACCATATTGTTTTCTTCTAGTTTGCTCGAGCGATGAGTTCTGGCAAGATCATTTCAGCAGAAGGATTACGCCGAGTGATTGGTTGGCCTCCAAGTAGACCAACATCATTAAGATCGATGCAAGAACTAGAAGTACTACACGAATCATTTGATCTCTATTTATGGCTAAGGTACACGTTTTGGTTTTCCTATCAGTAAGATCACGAATTTAAATGAGTTACTTTTGTTCCATTCTATGCAACATTAGAAAGTTTCAGATTTGACTCCGCTACCTCTCATTGGCTTAGTCCGCATCTGATTGGTTAATCGGATATGTATGAAACGCATCTGATTGGTTAATCGGATGTATGAAACGCATATGATTGGTTAATCGGTTATATGAAACGCATCTGATTGGCTAATCGGTAATATTAAACGCATCTGATTGGTTAATCGGATATATCAAACACATCTGATTGGTTGATAGTGCCTTAATGGTAGTGAAATCTGAATCTCTCTATTATCATAACAGTGATAACTAGGCATGCGAGTTATCAAAAAATCGGTTGGCCGGTTAGTTCTATTGGTGAAAAGGTTTCTTTGCTGCTTTTGGTAAATTATGATCAATTAATACCAATGATCATTTCACACTGGTTCGGTGTTTCTCGATATTTCTTCCAGCAGCACTGTTTTTTTCCAGTTACCGTTATCCTGAGATTTTCGTTGACCGGGAGAAGATCCGGGCTATGCAAAGTCAACTACAAACTGTCATCAATAACTCGCTTTCATCAAGTATCGCACTTACTGGAATTTTACCTCAGTCAACCGCTGTTACTACGGATCGCAAAGGAAATAAAGACGGGGAACATAGAATTATTCGGGGTAGTAAGGAGGGTCAAGACATTCGTGTGGTGAACAAAACTACTCATTCGAGTAATCAGCAAAGAATAATGGCATTCGAACCTGGTAATGACATGTTTGTAAAATATTTGTATTAATATAAGCATAGGCAGTCGAGATATTGTCTGGAAACTCAGCAAACGGTAAAACGACCTTAATCAGTTGTGATTTTATGTTCACGCGACTTCACGTGACCATGCACAATATTTTGAATTTTGCTTCTTAATTATCTTAGCTTAACTGCCTGTTACATATAGATCAGTGGCTGAGCTGTGCGAGCGCCCGGGCTGCATGTTTGAACGATATGGATGATTGCTTCATCATGTCAAAAATTTATTCTCAAGAAGACAGAACAAAGACTTCGGCCGAGATTCCATAGCGCATTTTGAATGACTATGAAAATTTAAAAACTTTGTAAACATACATTTTTTGCTTCCACTGCTATCTCCCAAACGTAATCATCATCATCTTCTCGATCAGACGGTTCGGACTATTGATTTGCACTATTCACGATTTCTCATTATATCCTCAAGTTGTTCCTTTGAATTTCAGTATTTTCCACAATTTGATTGACACAAATCCTTGGAGCTCTTCTCCTCCACGCTCGTTCCCTGACCTTTCTTACTGTTGACGTATCTTCCTCAATTAGCCTTTCTCACGCTTGGTTTATCCGCCATTTGGGGGTACTGCCTGTCTCAAGTCTGTAGTTGTGTGTTTAATGGTAAATTTACAGTTACAACTTTGAAAAGTCGTTTTTCAAATTGTTTAGACTGTCTAGATTCTCTGACGTGAGGAGACAGTGCCCAAAACATGGCGGATATTGACCCGCGTGAGAAGTCATTACAAGTCTTCTTTTCTTACCTTGTGATGGTTTCCAATGGATCAACTGACGTCTCCACCAAATTCAATATTTTTTCACCAACATTATTACTTATCCTACGTAGTTTCCAAAAGTAAAACATCACAATCTTTTTCTCGCAGGTCAGGACAAGCTGTGGTGGGAGAGAAGTAGAAAACAAAGCAACAAAACGTCCCTGACAACCAAACTATTGAAGGAAAAAGTTTTGACTCGTCGCCAGCTAGACAGACTTTACGATGAATGGAAACAGAACTCCGTAAAACATAGAAAATCTAATAATAAATATACTGAAATACTATGAAATGAAAATATACACTTACGGTATATAGACTTGATTGTGTTGTGTGGTTAGAGAACCCTGATAGCGTTGTAACCACTTGAAATTTTGCAATAAACTTCGCGTAGAGCGAATACACATTGTCAACATATGAGCACTTTTTCTGGCTGGAAATTTTTATAATCTACCAATGCTTTCACGGTTGAAAAATTACTGTTACACTTTTGTTACAGTTATTGAGTTATTGTTCAAATTAAGGCTTTCACTGTCAAGACGATATCGTCACAGGATATGGTGCTGTTTATCTTTGTATTTTGCTTAATTATTAATAACGTTGAGAATCATTAAACCTACACACTATTCACACTATAAACACGAAGCTTACACTGGTCTTACGTTCTCAATGTTGCACAAATAACGTTGAGAATCATTAAACCTACACACTATTCACACTATAAACACGAAGCTTACACTGGTCTTACGTTCTCAATGTTGCACAAATTGCTTTTGCACAAAGTTCCCGACCTTCAACAGACTCCAGATCGTATAGACCGAGTAAATAATCTGCTGGTAAGGAGCCTGGGACATACGATAACACTTCAGCTATCTGAAAGATAAAATCAGAATAAAATTATGTTACCCAAAGGTGGGAAAAACAAGATTATTTCCAACTACACTATGGGACGAATAAACCCTGGTTTATACTTTCTCAAATTCATTAATAATTCATGAGCAATTCAGTCAATGATAATCACCTATTTGATCACAAGATGCCATTTGGATAACCCGGGAAAAACTTGATGAAAGTCACTAGCGTTTTCATCAAATATCTTAATTACGCATGCAAAAGTACTTGAATAGAATTCCTAATTCAGCAAACTAAAACATTCTGTTTCGTCTCGATTCATTTGAGAAGCCATATAAACAACTCGAGCTCGTGTTTCACCGGGATATCCAAACACTTGAAAACAATGTATGAAAACACTCGCGCTTCGTGCTCGTGTTTACATACATTGTTTTCTCGTGTTTGGATATCCCGGTGAAACACTCGCTCTCGTTGTTCATATATTACTTCTAAGTTTCTGTGATCACAGTTGGAAGGATTTGTAAGAAATGTTTGAGAGAACTTTCTCATTGTTTAACACTAAGTCAGTTTCCTCAAACATTTCTTACAAATCCTTCAAAAATTTACTTAGGAAAAATTCCTACTGTGATCACATAAATAGTGTAAAACCAGGTTTAACGTCTCCCCTCCCCCCGGTTTCTCACAACTGGACAAAAACCGACTGCTCTTTTACAACTGGATTGTGGAAATGAAAGATTATCTCAAAACATCGAAACTGAGGATGGAACTGCTGAATCCGGTCATAACGGACTGTTGACATTAGAGTCAGAGCATCAGAGTGAAACCCTCCTACCAGTGTACATAAACAAAACTGGACTTACGAGATGTGGTTGTAAGCAAGTTAAAAGTGGCGAAGAGAAAAGGCCTGTGCACGAGACTGCTTGCTCCATGAAAGACATGACGAACGCTGCTCGAGCTCCGATCTCTCTCCGATTCAACGTATGACAGAATTCCTCAAATAATGTAACTACAACATGAAAACAACATCAATTACAACCTGTCACGCCGACTGAAAAGCATTCAGTGCGGGGGTGTTGGTAGCATAATGCATGTGTCGAAACGTAAAGAATAAAAATGCTTACAATTTTTGGAGTGTCTATTGTTTTGTGAGTTATTAAAATAATGCATGTACCTTTCATCTCTGGGGTTCGGTAGTTTTCTGATTTTCATTTCAGTAGGGTGAAATTTATCTTACTTTCGTCACCTACTCACCTATCCCCTGTTGTATGATAGATTTTGGAGTCCACAGTTTGTCATCTTCGTCAAAACGTTGAAGCTTTAACGGCCTAAAAACATTACAATGCTATTTAGTTTCACCTGAAAATTAACATAGACACATGCGCCAACCTTTGATAGCACGATAGTATTTTATAACTATTCGGCTCTGTGACCTGGGCTCGATTCCCGAACTACGATCGAGTTTTTAGTTCGACCAAACACCGAGGGTCCTCTCCGGGCACTGCAGTTTCCTCCTGTTGTAACACCACACCAAAATTAAATCACTCTTGCTGGACCTCTAGGTAGAACAGTTCAGGACAGCCACAAACTAAATATAAAGTTAGTTCAATACCGTTCATTGTCTTCATCGTCGTATTTTTTATGAGATGGATCTTCACGAAGCAAGCCAATCGCTGTCGCATGCGAGAGAAGACGAGCTAGACCCCAACCCTAAATAGTAGAAACATTAGGACCTTCCGATACGTTGCAGGGAACAGCCTTAAGTTCTGCACTTTTATTTATAAAAATCTACCGTTAAGAACCTCGATAAGCAGGACGACATAAAATTACAAGAAAATGAACAGAGCAAATGGCTCCTATATGTTGCATCTGTTTGTGGTTAAGTTGCAGATATGAATATAGTTTTTTACTGGAAATTCCAACACATGAAAATGCTTGAAGTCTTGTCTTAAGTAAGATGTTTAAAAAAGTTACAACAACTTTTGGCTTACCACAGGATCAACCAGAGTAAATTCAGCTTTTGGTTGTTGGATTAAAGATTTTGCTGAAGATAACAGCGCTGGTGATAGAGCAGATGGATCTAATAATACCAACATTGAACCAATGTCCGCTATGATAAGAGAAAAAATATTAAACTGCAACATACATCGCCTGATGGTACATACATTGGAATCCCACGTTCGAGATAAGCACAAACCTGCTTTTCTAACATCCTCCTTTCGCGTTTGATCCAACAACCCCTGTATGACAGGAACATTGGAATTAGAAATCAAGATTGAAATTAAAATTGAAATTGAATTTAAAAGTTGAATTTAAGATTGAATCTAAATTTGAAAATGAAATTGAAAATGAAAGTGAAAATGAATATAAAAATGAAATTGAAAATTAATTTGAAATTGAAAATGAAAGTAAAAATGAATTTAAACTTGAATTTAAATTTGAAAATGAAATTGAAATTCAAAATGAAAATGAAAATGAAGTTGAAAAGGAAAAGGAAAATGAAATTGCACATGAAAATGAAAATGAAAATGAAATTTGAAATTGAATTTGAAATTCAAAATGAAAATGACAATGAAAATGAAATTGAATCGCAACACAAATTTCACTGTAATGATGGTCAACCTTTATAACCACAATCACCATCTAGCAATCACCACTAATGTCAGCATGACCACCATCTCTACGATCACCACAGCCACCATGACCCTAACCAATAACCATCAATTACCATGATCACAATTGTCTTCACCACACCTTGAAATACTGTTTAAAATCTACAGGCTAGTTTCAATCAAATTGTTCGCCTGCACATAAATTACTCATTATTCACTATTATTCACCTTTAAGGTCACATCAGCAAAACAGTTAGGACCGGCGGAATTGAGCATGGCACGAAATTTATTCAGTGACGTCAAGTTAACGGCGCCATCTTGAATGGAACTTGATAATAACTTGCTCATCGTCTAAATATTTAAAAGCAAGAAATCTATAGCCTCGTTACAATGTACTAGTGTCGATTTGTTAACCTTTGTAATAAGGCTTTACTTTTAAACGGGAATAAAACTGAGCACTTAAAAGATATTCAACTTTACCTTCGTGGTACTTTGTTTATCTGTAAGAGGATAGGAATAAATGAAAATCTAATCATTAACACATATATGAGATTTAAACTCCTAAATGATGAAAAAATGACAACTTACCGCTTGTGAATGGATTATTCCGTCTGGCGTCAATTTTCAGTTTATCCAGCAAAATTTCCAACAGCGGATGACTAAACAATTACAAACAAAATATCAGCGGGGTTAGTATACAATACAATACAATAAACTTTATTTAACGAGGGTAACACCAATTACAAAACGTATTCTCCCTAGTGGCCCTCAGGGTTAGTATACAGTCTTTAGCATTCGCCCACGAAAAAGTCTGTAATGTTTAGTGTTGACAAGAATTTCCATCATGGGAGTTGTCAGACAAATATGTGTAAATACATACATATACATTAAAACTTTAGCATTACTACTGATAACGTAGAGCAAATTAGATATCCGACATATCTTCGTATCTCCCAGACTGACAGGTATAACGCGGAGCAAATTAGATATCCGACATATCTCCGAATCTCACAGACTGACTATAACGTAGAGAAAATTAGATATCCGACATATCTCCGAATCTCCCAGACTGACTATAACGCAGAGCAAATTAGATATCCGACTTATCTCCCAGACTGATAATGTAGAGCAAATTAGATCCTAGACGTATCTCCCAGACTTATGGCAAATTAGATGTCAAACAAAATGAATTTGTACGAAATGCTTGCTGCTTACCTGCATGGATATTTGCTGACTATTGGAAAAATAAGCATGTCAAGAAGGCTGAAATGGAATGGACAAATTGACCTTTCACCGTACGAAGTTTTTACGAAATCCCCTGCTTTTTCTGTCTAAACTGTTCCCTCTAGTCTGCAACTTGCAACGAAATCTGATTTCAACGCATGTTAAGTAGAAATGTCGACATATGTTGCCTTGTGATTTGTAATTTATGTGTAAACACTTTCAATTAACATGCGTAGAAATTAGATTTTGTTGCAAGTTGCAGCAATTTTGTTGTTCGTGTAACTCCAGCTTAAGAGTGACCAAAGAAAAATCACGGTGTTTAGCCTGGTTCACACATGCCTGCGGTATTCCCTGTGCTATCATTGTTTACAGCTGTTGATGCATACATTCTTTTGTGATTTGGTTGAACTCACTTGAACCGCTAACGACAAAAGGCCGCCAACATACTGCAAGTATATGTGAACCAGGTAGAGTCAGACTGGAGGTACTTTCTTTCATTCGACTATACAGAGATTGCAGATCAGTAAAGTACAGGGGTTGAACCACAGAGGTGGTTCTTACACTAACCATCACTGAACCACCAATTCGTATTTATACTCTATACACTATAACAATTTTTGCTGCGATTTCAAATGCGGTTTTCTTCTTCTGATACATGTGAACGAGTAAAACGAACCTTAACAGCTTACAACCCACCTATAAGGTTTTTCTCTTTCCTCAGAAGGTAAGCGAAGGATATGACTGCTGAGCCACACGAGAACACAGAGAGTGAGAGCTGGACATGTTTGAACCATATCTTTACACACATTCTGTTGAAAACATGTTGTTCACATTTTAATGCTGGACACCAACGTGTCGACGAAATTCATTAATTTTTCATTCGCTAACCTTAAACGAATCTGGTAATGGTGTAGTGCATGTGAGCAACTCATGAACAGCTTGACAAACGTTCCAACACGACCTTCCCCAATGAGTCGTACTGCAATACACAAACACATATATATTATTATTCTTATCCTCGTTGTCGTCGTTGCTGTTGTCGTCGTCGTCGTTTTTGTCGTCGTTGCTGTTGTCGTTGCTGTTGTTGTTGTCGTCGTTGTTGTCGTCGTTGCTGTTGTCGTTGTCGTCGTTGTTGTTGTTGTTGTTGTCGTCGTTGTTGTCGTCGTTGTCGTCGTCGTTGTTGTTGTT